TAATTTCTGTATTAATTACAATGGAAATGAAAATAGGAATACAATGAAAAAGAAAATTGAATAGAGAATCAAAACATGCTTCTTTAAACTATTCTGAACAAATGAATAGAAATAATCTGTTCTACAAAATTTAGATTTTCTAAGAAAGTTTTAATTTCCTAAACGTTAAACGTTTTAAATCACTCTGAATCTCGTCATCGTGAGAGGATTTCAATGTTCCTGACACGAGAATAGCTTAAAATTAAATGAGAATAAGCAAGGAGAAAATGATGTTCAGTAGTCTACAGATTCTAGAACTAGTGATAGAAGGATAATATGAAGAAAAAAATTCACCACATTGTTCAGAAAATTGAATTGAAGTTTTTCTCTGGAAGTTTGAACTTGACCTAGAATTTTCAGGATCAAGGCTATGGTCATGAGCTTGCCAGGTCTCGCTGGCCGATCTCCCCTTGATGCCGCCATCTCGCCATCACCACAGCACCTCCATCGGTATCACCGTCTCTCGTGGCATGAACGGACGCGACTGTTGACACAATTTTTCCACCGAGAGAAGAGATCGATGTACTGTTGCGTTTTCTATTACGAAACTGAAATGTGTGCCAATGACCGAGGCTCGGTCTCGGTGTGCGCAAAACGTAAGCAAACGGTTTCACATACACAAGAAGAAGTGAAAGAGAGTCGCTGGTATTGCCAACATGTATTCACCTGGGCGCAGATCAAGATCATGCAGATAGAGAGAGAGTGTGCGATGGTGAGAGAGACGATCATTTTTTCAGTGCTTTCTTTTGCCACACTTTGCTCTCGCTGCCTCTCCGCTCACATTCCCTCTTCGCGGTGGTGAATTGATCGTGTGTTTGTCTCTCGATGGCCAAGAAGGCGAAAGACACACTCGCTGGCCGTTCTTGTGTGAAGTGTTCCATTTTAGTGGCAAGAAAAGTAGTCGGGTTCAATGCCTTCTTGTTCGCGAACGCTTGCATAGCAGTATATATCGACTCGCGAGCCCGAAGAGCTTTCTCGCGCGGAAAGCACAGAACGAAGGAAAGCGCACTCGATCATCACGTGTGAGTCTGAAGCGAAATGTTTGAATAAAATGAATTGGAATTGGTGATAAAGCTGCACGGCGCGCGAGAGGCAAATGAACTCTGGATGGTAAAGTAGAATGAAAGTTATGCAATTACTTTTTAACATTTTCACAGCGCGCTACTCTCGCGAAGAGAAATGGATGGCGCGAGAGAAGCACTCTGAGAGTCATGGAAATACTCTGGAGTATGAGAAAATATAAGCGCGCACGTCTAAGGTAAAAAAAGAAAAAAATCGTTAGCACTGGGTATCAACTCCGATGGCTACATTTAGCAGAGTTTAACAGTTTACAGTACATTCACCCACTTTTGATTCGCGTTTCCTTGTGTTCGCATTAATTCATTTTAAGAAATATATTTGAATTATATCTAGCGCGATTGATCCAATTAACATTCATTCTATGCGCTCCCGGGAAAATATTCCTATCGGCCACTGTGGCCCTTTTAGTTTTAGAACAGTGAATTTGTATGTATAATTTAATTTATTCTCTCTCCTCTTTATTTTCATCATTATTCGCTGATATGAAAGTAATGACAATAATATTTGTGTTATATTATTTGAGAAATGATTTAAAATTTCGGTAAATAAAAAAATGGTCTGTATTGTCAATGACATATGGCTTGCTTTGTATTTATTTTAGTGTCTAAAAGTAGTAAGAGGTATTAATAAGGTATTAAAGAATTGAAATCTCAGTATAATTTTTTTTTTTATAAAAATCAAAGTTGCAATTCTAATCAATTGCTTATGATCGGACCAATGAAAAAGGTCCACTTATTTATGAACTTCGTTCGATTGTATTTTCCTGTTAAACCTAAAAAAAAATCGAGGGTGATAATAAAATTCTTTTCCGATACACATATGATAATATGAAGGAAAATCTTCTGCTAAAAAATATGTAATAGAAAGTGGTGCTCTTTTCTTAATTTATTCCATCTCAATGACCATTGAAGTTAGTTGTATTGATTAGCTTTCGCAACAGCAAAAAAAATGAAATATACACATACTCGCAAGAGATTCAACGGAGATGAAAATCTCTGAAAATATTAACATGCAACATAAATCACTCTATTTTTCCATCAAAAGAATTTGTAATGTACGCGTGAGAAAGAGAGCCTTCGATGCGCCTCTCGAGCAAGGGTAAATTATGCCGTTTGAACTTTTGACCTCAAAAAGAGCATTCACGACTCTTCCGCCCGTTGTGTGATTGGATGAATGGCTGGCGAGAAGAGCGACTTGGAGGCTGCGCGGAGCGGCTCGAGTGTGGATGTGAACTTTATATAATAGTAAGTGTAACGAATTGGAATTAGAAAGAATAGGGAATACAATTGGTGAATATTCCACTTTGCTGGCAAATTGCAACCGTAAAGACGCCATAAATGGTGTCAATGTACGAACTTGAACTACAGACGTTCACAGACTTTTACAGCAACGCGGCAAGAGTCATGGTGAAGAAAAATGAGTTCGATTTTTCTTTTTAGCTTCAAACGTCTTCTCACTACCTTTTCGATCATTATGTGCCGCTTCGTAGTGCAGGTATGCAATTGAAATTGTTATCTCCACTCTTATTGCTTCATTTCAGTGTACAATAAACTGTTTTGCTTGTCCCAAATCATCAAAATCCCACATTTTCTTGACAAATCCCTATAGTTTCCCGAGACGATTCTCCAGGAATACCACAATTAGCTCATATGCAGCTTCCCACCACACAATATAAGGCACGATCTCTGTGATTTGATCATTTCACACACGCGTAGATCAGTGTGTGTGTAGAAAATGAAGAAAATAATATAACCTGAAGCATTCTTCTTTCTTTCATTCGAACGAAAAAGTATGCCAATGAACTTGAGCGACCGAGTGAACGAACATAACTACCAAATGAAATTTTATAAGCGCATAGCAGCACGATCGCAAACTATTACAAACGGATTTACGTTTCAGAGACCCAAACATAATTTTTGCACTCTCTTGAAAGTGCGCAAGAGAGTGCATTTTCATTGCGAATGCACCTAAACTCCCGCGAGTACTCCAAAATCCCAAGGGAAATGTCTTGTCGTAAAGCATGTTGGAGTGGCAAGAAAACCTGAAATGGGTATTTTGAAGAACCACTTCTTCAACTGGGAAGACAGTTAAGAGTGACGGTATCGCCTTAATCATCTTTACGAGGAGTTTTATTGTATTAAAAAAATATACTTTCTTAAACTTCATATTAATTGCAAAATTAAGAACCTAAATGACTGAATTGAGAATATAAGACTAATCCACTATTAAATCAATGTCTTAAGCTCTCTAGACTAAAGGAATTCAATTGGAGCTCTTTTGGAGTTCTATGGACAATTTTCCAATTAATTAAAAGAAGTAAGAAACAGTCAGTTTGCAAATTCGCTGAGCAAAGATCTGCTATGAAATTTTAATCACCAATATGTGACTTCCTCTCAAATTATTTCAGCATTTTATCTCAAGGAAATGCAGATCAGAAAGATAAACTCGGTCCGTGAATTAGTCTCATACCGTTAAAATTAAATGTCATTTGCACACCATCCATAGGACAACAAATGCGAACTATATTCATGAAATTGCAGTCACTGGAGTTCATATAATTTCAGTTTTTATTTCTCACTGCTCAGGTGACATGAATATTTATCCAGATAAATTCAGGACTTTTCATTTCAAAGACAATAATATATTTACGCTGTGTTTTCACACCTCGAAGAAATGTGAAACTTGCGTCGGATGAGACACTCTTATGTGGAAATTTACCCAAAATACATGAGAAGAGTTCATGGACCTGAGGCGACCGTTTTTGCTGAAATCACGAGAATTTTGACGAATTGAGCGAGCGGTGGAGATTTTTACGAAAAGGCTTAGCATTGCAAATGAGGCAAGAAAAGCCCACCTTTCACTCGAGTCCATCACGGTTCCGTTCTATAGTTGCCGCGAGTGTAGAATTCTGCACGCTCATTGTCTCGAAAATGGGAATAATTGTGCAGATTGTCATTGGCGGAGCGGGTTCTTGGAGTGCTGTTCTTACGGGCCCCGATTTCCGTTGGCTGGTAATTTCGTGTGGGGAAGAGTGGCGCGGCTGAAAAATAGGCCACTCAAGTAACAGAACATTCTTCATCGGTGTTGAGCTTTTTCTTTTCTATCTTACAACACTGTGTCATAGAAATCCGGTTGTGAATGTCGACAAAGGTGGAAAATGCTCTCGAGTGATGCGCTCTCTTCAGTGGGGAAAAATACAAAGAAGAAATCCAGTTAGAAACTTTTAAAGCCTCAAATTGATACCGTCTGTATAGTCGGACGAGCGATTGGTGAGAACTCACGAGACAGCATCTCCTCATCCCAATCACACATTAAAATAATTCTTTAGCTTCTTTCTTCCTCTGTCTTCTTTTGTTCTTTCACATCGAGAAGCACGGAAAGGAACATTCCAGCTTCACGATATGGGGGAAGATTTCGGTGATATAAACCAGACGTTCTGATGAACAAAAATAGACCCAAGGGAGAGGCGTAGGTCATGATGGTTGGTCCAATACAGATTGTGTTCCCATTACTGTACCTTCGTATATACAATGTACATATAGTCCACATTCCCCAGATACATACATTGTGGTCATCCACCTCTGCATTTGTATCTGTAACACCAACAAATCTCGGATCAACCCACCTTTTGCCGCCATGAAGTCGTGAGCAAGGGATTTTCCAGATAATGCTGGGATTCTGCTGGCCTCAAATCTCCGGAAATTTTATTGTTGAGCAATTGCACATCATCGCTTAGCGGTAAAGTTCATCTGTGACTAATCTATTGCATAAAGTCGTCTCAAGCACTGACTGTTTGGTTTTGCTCAAAGAGCCTGAATGTAGTCAATATAAGAACGAGAGGTAGCGGAAACTCTTAGCATAAGAGATCACACACACACATATTTCTTTTTACTTTAAAATTATTTTATTCTCTATCACTTCTTAATTATGGCCTTGAAATGTCTTGCTCTTTTGCCTTGTCAATCTCTCCTTCTCGCGTGCTTTCTGTGTTTCCTGTAGAACTCCTCCATGGCCTGATACTGAGGTGCGTAGACGTCCGGGACCTCCTGTCCGATGGCCTCAATGAAGATCATGGACACTGTGGAGAGTTCGAGGACTTCCTCCTCGTACGCTATCAGCTGCCTGAAGAAGCCAACGTTTGGCCGAATCTGCGGCCTCGTGGATTTCACGTAGAGGAAGGCGTCCCTCAAGGGCATCCCAAAGTACCTCATCAAGTATGCGAGGCAAAAGGAGGTTGACCTGCTGACCCCGGCCACGCAATGCACGAGAGTCACGCCTCCGTTCAGTCTCTCCTCTTCGATCCGCGAAGTCACCGCTTCGAAGTGACTCCTGATATCATTGTCGCCCTTGTCCAAGATGGACACTCGCATGTAGGCAGGTGGATTCTCTGGCAAGGGCGTGTCCGGCAGTTCAGGCGCTACATTCACTATCAAGGTGATTCTGAGGCTTGAGATGGTTTCCGGACGAACTGCTCCAGCACCACACAAGTACAGCGAGGGCAGTATTTGGGATAAGCCACTGTATTTGCTGGGAAGGTTTTGCCTGATCAAGTAAAGAATATCGTTGAAAAATCATTGAATATTAAATTTTATAATTCAAATGAATTAATTAGTTCAAGCTTTTCTCAAATATAAAATCCAAAACATCATGATAAATGGAAATAAATCCACCATAAAACATTTTGGCTATAATAATATTTTTGTCCTATTTCTCGTGATTACCCAAGAATCCATCCTTGTCATTTCGCCACTTTTCACTCGGGAATTCATGCAAACATTCCATGACTCATAACGAAATAATTTCTATCTAAAAATACAATCTTAAAAATAATACTTCAAGCAAATTAAAAGCGCAGTTCTTGTGCGTGAGAAATGGCGACCATTGGACAAAAAATGGTAAACAAAATCTGTTTTGATGCCAGATAAACATATTTTCACAAAATGCAGAACACACATCTTTGGCAATACCTCGCGTTTTCGTGTGGTGTGGATGATAAAAGCGATAAAAGCTTCAGCAGGGTTGTCAAATGTCTCAGAAAATGTGTTAGGCAAGGAATTTCTTTGAGGAAAAATACAACATTTATAGGTCACGGTAGTTCAGTAACAGTGCGTGAGGAACATTAAAGACGGTGTTGTCGCTATTTATCAATGCGAAGGATAGCCAGATTAATGAATTGTGTTACTTCGCGTGGCGGAAAACAGACAGAAGATCTAATCTCTGACACCTGGCTTTGAGTGATCAAGTCAAGTGTGGTCTGGCCTTTTTTTTCGAGAGATGCTGACGAAACGCCAATCAATTGCACACGAAATGCATGGAGAATCCTCACATTCTCAAGAGGAGAAGCTTATAAATTCACATGTTTCAGCGAATATACAAATTATTCTGCCTTTATTATAAATTTCGTGATGAGATTATAAAGTCTGATGAATTGGCAGAGCGCCCAAATATCTCAAGTATTTCTGATCTTTGTGTTAATACATCCACACGCGAGCCTGTTATTCATTAGGGACTGAGATTCCATTCAAAAACGGTCACAATGGAGGTGTTATTCGGTATGAAGGAAATAGAAACAACGCAAATTTTTTCTAACGCCATTCCAAGAATAGCCAATCACAAAAGTCACCCACCTTTCCTCCGCTCCTGGACTCTGAATGAACAGCTGCTTGGCGAAGAGATGCTGGACAGGATCGTCGCGCTGGCAGCTTTCTTGCATAAGAGTATCACAGAAGAATGTGCGAAGATTCTCCTTCTCTTCCGTCATTTTCCACTTTTGCAATCTCACAGCGAAAACGAGAGTCTGAGCGATGCAATAAAATTCATATGCAGGCGGAAAATAGATCGAAAATATAATTACTTTCACTGCGCGGCTCTGGCCACTAAAGCCCACTTTAAATACAAGAATTTACACTCGCGGTGCGCAAAATAAATATCTCAACCAGTATTTGTGCGATGAATGTGATCTAGTAGGTGATCGCTAGGCGACTGAGCCTCAGGCTGTCTTCGATTTTCCTCAAAACGTCTGTTTTTGTGCGCTGATTCATTTGCGCGTCACGAAACAAGACTGCTCCTCACACAGGCGTGCGGCTGTTATTTATATTTGGGCATCCCACTGTACTCCTGAATAGCCTAAACACCTACCCCGCGGAACTACGCATCGTGCACGCACGTGGGGCAATTTTTGCGTGATTGTGTTCCGTGAATTTCCATTGTATTTCGAGGGAAAGGAATCCGCGTGCGAAAAATGTGGGCAGATGACATGAACTTCCTCTCACGATGCCTCATCGTATTTGGCGTTGTGCCACTCTTTTCCTAATGATTGTGAAAACTATTTGAAACATGCTAAGATCTGTGTTTATGACACTCTGACACCCTTTAGCTACACGTTTTGCGATTTATAGTGGTTTTAACAGAATCTGAAGGTTTGCTCTCAGGTGAACGGAACTTGGATATAAATTTAGAGTATTTTTAAATTATTAATTATTTTTACACTTTATGTACAATTTACAAACTATTTGATGACTCCGAAATCGCAAAGGGTGAACAAGTGAGGGAAATTTATATTTACTTCCTTAAATCTCATGCAGGAATATAACTAATTTATTATTTCCAAGGATTTTCTTTTCAATGGCGAATTTAATTGCATAGAATTGAGCAATGCACTATTGATACGCAATATTTATCCCTGAAAGTGAACTTGAGAAAAGTTTCACACTCAATCAGGTGTTTATGTGTTAAGATAGAGCAATAAAGATGATTTTATGGCACGTGTTATTATGTTTATCTTTTAATTGGTAACAAGTTTAAGAAAGTGTCACAAAAGTATGTCTTTTTATATGAAATGTAAATACAACTCACAGAAATTCGCTACTGATAAGAGCCCTATCGCGATGTGCTTGACAATGCGAGTAAATTGCCAGTGATTAAGAGATAATTGGACCAATTTGGAAGCCTTTTGAATATGACAATGCAAGCAATCTCTCATTATGAGATGCACATATTTGAGTATACATACATATGATTTATTGGAAAATTAACCCAATTTCTAGAGATTGCCCACACGCAATTCTTTAGAGCAAACACTTGAAACTTTATTGGATTAAATAAGTGCTTCAAAGAGATAATTCCTGCTCAATGTATCTTATATGGAATGCCCATTCTCAACACATCTCTCCGGCAAAACAGCGAATACGTGTTTTATCACTGTCGGTGATAACTTGCGAGGCAAGTCTGGCCAAATTAGTCTTAGCCCAACCGTGGTGAAGTTGAGTTGAATGCGAAAGGCGAAACAATTGTGTAAATGAAGAATGAATTAGTGATATTTGCTTAGCGCTTAAATATTTGGAAAATATCTAAAAATGGGCCAACAGAGTTTGGAAAATCGTACGGTGAACGGTGAAGATTTAGTGGACAGACAAGCGAGTGCTATTGAAAAGAATAACGAAAGCAGGTGAATTGGTCACTTGGCTTAAGGAAGATCTCATCTCTAAAGCCACCTTCTGTCTCTCTCTCTCTCTCTCTTCATTTAAAGTGATCCTCTCGTGGCTGATAAGATTACATGGCAGTTCTGGAAGGCGAGACGCTATGTTGTGGTCTTAATGGCCTTCCTCGGATTTTTCAACGTCTACTCCCTGAGAGTGAATCTCAGTGTGGCCATTGTGGCTATGACGGAGACGAAGAACGTCACCATGGAAAATGGCACAGTGATTGAGACGCAGGATTTTCCATGGGACTCAACACAACAAGGATTAGTCCTCAGTTCATTCTTCTACGGCTATATCACGACACAACTGATGGGAGGATATTTGGGATCCAAGTTTGGTGGACACTATGTAAGTGGTGTGATGACGAAATGATTGGAATTCACTTTCAAAACACGTTTTGGGTGTGCAATTACCATTAATCAGCGAGATCGTGTCGCCTTTTCGTAATCTTTCGTTCAAGTCTTTTTGTATTTCTACATATATACAAGTCCAGTTTGCTGAATCGCAGAGTGTGATAACATAGAAGAAGATCTTGTGACTTAAAATTAATAATAGGAGCAAAGTGTAGAGACACTTTGGGATACTTCATAGATTAGTACTATGTGTATGATTGATATGATCTAGTGCCAGCATTTTAACTTAAGAGATTAGCTGATTAGTGGCATCTCGACCTTCCGGCGGAGGCATTTTAATAGTTCTTTCAATTGCTTCACACATAAACAATTAATTACCTGTCCCATCATTTAAACCTACTAAAAAATCAATTTACACATAATTAATGTACACTGTAGTCTGAGAAAACTGTGTACTAATCGTGTTGAACTGATGTTTATTATCATTATGTAGATTGTGTTTTGCGTACAATTTGTTACTTGAATAGTCCCTATTTCAAATGTATACTATGTAAAAAAGGATTGATAAAGCATTCTATTTTAAAATCTTTTCAAGGTGTTCGCGAGTGGAATCGGCGTCACTGCCCTCCTGACCATCCTTACGCCGGTAGCTGCCAAGCATAGTCTCTACATGCTCCTGGCTGTGCGGATAATTGAGGGCGTATTCGAGGGAGTTACCTTCCCTTGCATCCACGCTGTCTGGGCCCGATGGGCGCCCGTCTATGAGCGCTCCCGGATGGCCACACTGGCATTCGCGGGCAATTACGCCGGAACCGTGGTTGCAATGCCTTTATCAGGCGTCCTGGCCGTAGCCTGGGGCTGGGAGAGTGTTTTCTATTTCTTCGGCGCTATCGGCCTGGTCTGGGCCATTGCGTGGATGTTCATAGTCAAGGCTGGCCCAGAAGACGATCCCTTTATATCGGAGAAGGAGAAGAATTACATCTTGAACAGCCTCGGTCACACCGAAAAGAAAGCTATAAAGCATCCTTGGAAAGCTATTTTTACCTCAACGGCGGTTTGGGCAATTATTGCTTCGCACTTTGCTGAGAATTGGGGATTCTTCACGCTACTGACTCAGCTTCCCACGTTCCTTAAAGAGACATTAGATTTTCAACTTGAGAAGACTGGCATTGTGTCCGCAATTCCCTACCTCGCCATGGGTTGTCTATTGGGGGTTTCGGGTTATTTGGCGGACTGGACTCAAATCAAAGGATATCTGACCACAGTTCAGGTCCGGAAGTACTTCAACTGTGGGGCTTTTCTCTTCCAGACCGTCTTCATGATGCTGGCGGCTTATCTCTTAGATCCCGTGGGAACTGTGGCTTGCATAACTGTTGCTGTGGGATTTGGAGCATTCGCTTGGTCAGGATTCATGTAAGATAGAAGTTTTGGATTCAATTTACTCATAAATATACTAATTATTGTGCTATTTGCAGAGTGAATCCACTAGACCTGGCTCCAAATCATGCATCGGTTATTCTGGGAATTTCCAATACTTTCGCCACCATTCCGGGCATTGTTAGTCCCTTGCTGACGGGAGTAATTACAAGCGACAAGACTAAAGAGCAGTGGCAGATAGTCTTCTACATTTCATCTGGAATTTACCTGGTAGGCTGTGTAATCTACTGGTTCTTCTGCAAAGGCGATTTGCAACCTTGGGCGCAGAAGAACAGCCACGAGGAGAACCTGGAGTCTCCTCAACAATTAGGAATAGTTAATGATCAATTTGATATGTCTGATGAGAAAAAGTCATAGGTGTATTATAAATTCGTAGAAATTATTTAAAAATAAAATTGTGCTCTAATGGATTAATCAGTTCAGATTTGAATTTGTATAACACATGTTATACAAAGCAAAGCACATAAAGCATATGCTGGATGGAACGTCGGTAACGCAGATCAAATGTTTTGACAGTGAGCTTAGTATGAGTTTTGGCTTGTTCACGCGATAATTTATCCCCTTTAGATGCCATTCAGATCCTAGAAAATAAAAATAGTTACATGGGAATAAGCCGTCTGAGATGCGTTAGGATCTGAGTCGGATAATTGCAACGATGCCCACGGTGAGATCTTACCTCAGCTGCCTCGTGATCGGGAGCCTCGTGTCACTTTCATGGGGCATCGAGGTGGACTGCAGTGAACTCCGGATGGGTCAGTACCTCTGTCCAGATCCTAGCAACATAGACAACTACATCGACCCAAAGACCCAACAAATCCGCGGCTGCACAAAGGAGAACAAGGCTCGAGGTAGGGATCACGATGATATCTTTCCGGAAGTACCTTTGAAACTAAAGTCTTTGTCTTTCTTCTGTTTTCAAGTGTGGTGCGTAGCAGCGGACGAAATCACATGCACAGAAACCAAAAATGCCAGCTTCACGAGAGAACAGCCGTGCAAGTGGACGTTAGTATGCTCGGTCTCTGCCTGAATTGCTTTTCCTGATCGTAAGTCACTCTTTCAGGAATGGCTATCGCCTGGACACAGCTCTTCTGCTCTCGATATTCCTGGGGATGTTTGGCGCCGACAGATTCTACTTGGGCTACCCGGCTATTGGCATGCTGAAATTCTGCACCCTGGGTTTCATGTTCCTGGGCCAGCTCGTGGACATCATTCTGATAGCGACCCAAGTGGTCGGACCAGCGGATGGTTCGGCCTACGTGATCCCATACTATGGCCCAGGAATTGTTGTGATACGTAGCGATAATTGGACTTATCGTCTTCCTCAAGATGATTGGTGAACAAAGCCTTTGGTAGCCAAGATGTATATTAGGCATAATTCTCTTATAAGTTAATGCACAGATCATAAGGTATGAAATATATAGGAAAACTCGAGACAGAATCGATAAGTCAATACCCTAAAAGCCGAAGACTGCTGGTTTGCCACGTTTGTGGCATTTGATTATTAATTGCCTATTTGGCTGTCGATTAATATTCTCTTCTCCCATTTACAAGAATCTCAGTCTGCCTTTGGATCTCTTGCGAGATGGAGTGTTTCTCTTCTTCGTGCCCTGATCTCAGTGTGGGAGCAGTGAATACTTACTTATCACTTCTCTTCAGTTATCTAAGCATTTCGCAATGCTCTCTTTCGCCACCGGAAATGTGGCCAAGGGATTATGGCGAAGTCGTGATAAGGAAAGGATTTGAGGTGTATGACTTCATAATTGTGGGCGCAGGTTCTGCTGGCTCGGTTGTTGCAAATCGCTTGACCGAAAATCCTGATTGGAAGGTGTTGCTTTTGGAAGCTGGAGACGATCCACCAATAGAGTCCGCCGTAAAATATATAACATATTCCTCACAGTTTAAGTGCAACATAATACATTAACTTTTTCTAGGTTCCACAACTTGTCATTGGGATGTTGCAAACGAAATACGACTGGAATTACAGAGTTGAAAAATCAGACAAATATAGTTTGTACTTCCCAAAGGGCGGTTACTGGCCCAGGGGAAAAATGCTCGGAGGATCAAGTTCAATCAACGGAATGATGTACGTCAGAGGAAACAAGCGTGACTACGACAACTGGGAGAGCCTTGGAAATCCAACCTGGGAATGGGACAATGTTCTGCAGTATTTCAAGAAGTCAGAAGATAATCAAGATCCTGAAATTGCAAACGAGGATGGAGGATATTATCATTCAACTACGGGCCCAATGTCAGTGGAATTAAGTAGTTCTAATGAGACAATCAATGAAATTATCCTTGCAGCTGCTCGTGAGTTGGGTTTCAAATTTGTCCTCGATACCAACGGACACGAGCAGATAGGATTCACTATGAGTCAGTCCACGATCAGGGCAGGAGTGAGAGAGAGCACAGCTAAAGCATTTCTAGTTCCCGTTAAGGATAGACCTAATCTTCACGTCGTGAAGAATGCTTTTGTTCTCAATCTAGAAATCGACAACGCTGGTGTTGTGACCGGCGTTAGCGTGGCGTTAAAAGGACAAATCCTAAAGGCTTTCGCGAAAAAAGAGGTAATCGTGAGCGCAGGGGCTATCAACACGCCACAGATACTGATGTTGTCCGGAATAGGTCCCGCTGGTCATTTGCAAGACATGGGAATACCGGTGATTCGGGATTTATCAGTGGGTCGAAACCTACAAGATCATCCAACTATAATGATTTACGTGAAGCTGCAGTCAAAAGAAGCCGCACCATCGCAACTTGAAGTGTTGCTGAGTTTCTACCAGTACTTAATCAGTCACATGGGTGCTCTTGCAAGTATTGAACTTATGCAAGGTCATGTTAGTGTTAATGATCCACTCGATATATATCCTGACACATTCTTCCATCATAATTTCGTGAAAAAAGGTCAAAGTAACGGCATAATGACGATATACAAACTTGTGGGATATGCTGATGAAGTGGTACGAACTGTTGCAAATGCACTTGAAAGCTCAGATGTTCTTATTGTATCTATTGTCGGTCTCAGGCCAAAGTCTAAAGGAGAAATTTTGTTAAAAAGCGCTGAACCTAGAGAGAAACCACGCATAATTCCCAATTACATATCAGATCCTTCTGACGTTGAGACTCTTATCAAGGGTATTCGACTTTATCTGAGATTCCTTAAAACGGAATCTTTCTTAAACCACGAAGCTGAATTACTTACTATTCCCATTGCGGAATGTGATGCCATGGAATTTAACAGCGACGAATACTGGGCATGTTACTGTCGATATCTTGTCTTAACCAATTATCACCCAGTGGGAACTGCAAAAATGGGTCCTGTCTCAGATCCTGAAAGTGTTGTGGACTCAAAGTTAAAAGTGAAAGGCACGAAAGGCTTGAGGGTTATTGATGCTAGTATTATGCCCGTCATTCCGAGTGGAAATACCAATGCCCCGACTATCATGATTGCAGAGAAAGGAGCAGATTTCATTAAGGAGGCTCATGGATTCGTAGCCATATAGTTATCAAGCAATAGCACAACTTTATTAAGTAAAATGATTAGGTTATATAGTGATGTTTGAACAAATACATTTTTGGAAGGTACGTTATAATTAAAATTTTAGTGATGTAAGTATTTAGATAAAACTGAAAATACCTGATAAGATAAGATAAAATAATATGGCAAATTAAAGTCCTTTCGTTGATTATGCAGGTACTTGATTGTTTCATTATTATATTTTTCCACACACGTTGATGGTTGTCGAAAGGATTTCAACTTCATGCGGAGATACTGTAAAACTATACATTAGAGACTAATTTTTGAAAATAAAATCATAACTGTGGCTTACGAATGGTTTCCATTATCTTTTCTTTGACGACAACAGTATCCCAAGTTCGTTTCACTTTCTTCAACTTTGAAATTATGGCTTGTCGTTGACCGTCGTTTAAGCCTTCGATAATATTAAAATTCTTATTCCAATACGACGGAATCTTCTTTTCTTCGAAACGTTGAATGGTAGCATTCAGCATATCCTTAAGTACGATGTCAAAAGAAGAGTTCCAGTACGAATCAGGTCTTTTGTCAGTTTCCAACATAACAACGGTTTTTATATAGTAGCTTTTTAGATTCGGCAGAACTTGAGTGTCTCGGATTTTCTAGATATAAATTGTATTATTATATTGAAATATTTGTTACCTCAGTATGTATATTTCCTACCTTGATGAACCGAATGGCGTCTTTGAGGCGATTTTTATTATGGATAATAACATTATCTTGTGCGGGATAACTCGCTATCCACAAACGGTTCTCCTCACCAGGATTTAATTTATTTGGTTTTGGAATGGCCATGTAGAACTTGTCCTCCTCTTTAGCAAGTTTTGGGGGCTTACGTGTTGCAATCCATTTGCTGAGATCAAAGGTAATGCCGAAGACGAAGTCAATACTGAAGGATATATGAGAATCTCTCTTCGAAGTCACATTAAGGGTTTGCGCTGGTCCATGTTTCTCATGTTTTAACGTGTATTCAGATGCTAAGAGTTGCTTGACGCTCGTGACAGAATTATGAATTTTGCTTTCCAACCACGCTAGCCACTTATTCTGAAGCAAATAGCCAAATTTGTCCGTCATTTTGGCCAACTCTTTATGAGCTTCAGTCATGGTTGGTATTTTTGCCATTTCTTCTAGCAAATTCTTAACATTGATTGTCAGATATCCCGCCTTATCAGGTTTTACGATGACTTTATCCGGGGACAAAGGAAGTTTCATTTTCATGATCAAATCATACTCATTAGGCTTCGATACCTTCAAGTTGTCCCGATAACTTCCCGCATACTCAAATCCATTGCTTATTTTCTTGTACAAATCACTGTTGTTCTTCAACTCGGTATCAATGGATTGCCTAACAACATTACAGTGTTTCATGTACTCCTCGCGATCTTTCGAATCCAGCGTTATGAACTGATTAATTGCGTGGGTAATTCCAGTGAAAATTGTAAGTTCTTGCACATTCATCTTGAGAACTTAAATTTCAATTTATTTTTAATACTTTTTGCACTTGAATTAAAATATAATAGATTACGGTTTTCAGTCACGTCTTACACGCTAAACTAGCACTCAATGAGTGATCTTGTATATGAGATTTGACAGGCAGATTCCCTTACGAGTTACGCACACTTAAGCACAAGAGTCGCTCCATACAACGAAGCCGGCGTTTTTCTTGGTCGCATGGAAAGTTGTGAGTTACTTTAAGATCATCATTAATATCTTTTTGCCCGCGGAAACATAAAAAAAACTAAAACTATACTTAATCTTCACAAATTGTTAATAGAAATGTTTGAAACTAACAATTGCCATGATTAAGCCGTCGATTCATCTAAAATTGATTAATTCAAACAATTACATGTAACTTAATGGATTTTTTTTCTATTATTCACACTTTATGATAAAGTAAATGATGAAAGTATAAATGAGAGATAAATTACTCCTAGATCTATTGCATTTGATTATTCGGGAATTGATTGATTTTGTCCTCCAATGTGCTAAGAACCTTTCCAACGACCGATATCATACTCATTGACTCTGTTTATATTGTCTGCCACAGTGTATGTGCATTTTGAGAAAAATGCTTTTTCGAGTGGTTGAGTGAGTAGTTTACTTTCCAGTAAAAATATACAAGCATCTCTTCTTGATTGTGTGAAAATCGAATATTCCAGAAATCGAAGAAATGAAATTGTTCCGCTTGCAAATTTTCTATATTATCGTAATATGTGTCAACAGATGTGATGAATTATGGAATGTCGTATCAAATTTAAAGCGAATGTATTGGTCGCTTTCGCTTTCTGGGCTCTCTTCATCAGCAAAATTTGCCAAATTATGAAGACGAGCGATTTTGCCTATCTTATATATATAAACAAATTTCAACTGTGGCATAATAATGGGAGCTGATACTCCAAAGTACCGTCACAGCTCCTCGCATATTAGTTTGCACTTAGAACCTCTTTGTTCTTTATATAAATTCATCTGTATCCGAGAGGACACCTTGTCCTATTGTCGCATTAAATATCTTATAATTGATGGCATTGATGGGCGTAGAAAAGAAGCGCAGTGTCAAGGAACTCTTTCACAAATCAAACCCTCAATTACTAATTCTAAATAGCATATAGAATCATAGACGATCGAAATCGCTAAATTGCCGTGGTTTGAAATGCAAAATCGTTCTATTATCTCCTGACATGACGAAAGTGGAGCACCGAGTGCACGTTAGCGTTCCTTGATACCGTCGAGATAGTGAAAGTATTTGAAATGATTCGATTTTCCAAAATGTCCCACCATCAAATAAACAAGAAGCTCAACATACTTTGCATTGCGATGGAATGTCTGGTGTTTGCGTGTTTTAATAAATTTTTGTTTTGAACTATTGACATCAATATTTGGGTTTTAGGGCCATCCTTGATCAACGAGGTACGGTAAACATCCGCTCAGCCCATTTCCACCCTCCAATAAAACTCCAATCAATTTCGCCGCGCTTCGGATTTGCAATAAAACTCTTACATATTCATTGTGACAAATTCGAGAAGCCTTCTTGCGGCCAATTATCCGCGGTGTGTGCTGATAAAATATAGGCTTATCGATGGGGTTCTCGGAAGTGTATCGAAATGTCGCAATCATTTGTTATAAATACATTTTACATCATTGACAAATTCGAGCTATAAATCTTCAGGGTGAAATTGCTGGTGCCTAACGATTACAATTGCGCGCATTGGGTGGAGAAAAGGTGGTTGAATTATTCGACAGTCGGCTGTAGGGAAGAGCTGGGCAAGATGAGCAAAATATATCATAGAATCCCATGCTTCCACACAAATACGCACAAGGAGAGTGTGTGTGACGCGTGGAAAAAATGTTATCATAAATACTTATACGCAGTCTCAGAGCATAAATATTCTCGCACACACTCCGCCTAATCAGTTTTTTAAAACCATCTAACTTTGTTCACATGTGCACGAATTTTGTATTTTTTTTGACCGAAAAACCTAAGAAAAAGTGTAGTATTTTGATTCATTTGTGATGCAAACTGTGGCCAAGAGTAGAAACAATCAGTTAATTGCGTTATCTTCTAAGAAAAGATCTTTAGCTATTGAGAAGAGCAATTTTTGAACAAGGGCATGACAATTGGCTCTAGACGCACAAACACAAACAAGCATTGTAAGCGGGCTGTAGATAGGAAATTCCGAAAATTCACTAAAGAGGTTTGTAAATTATGTATACATATATTTACTAAAATTTTTAAACTAGTTTTTCTATAAGATTTTTTTTTATTGCAAGGAGAGGAATTATTTTTTCACAATTTTTTTGCAAAACATTGCTTGTTTTTTCAGCAGAAAATACTATGGATTACCTTCTGGAGGAGGACTATGAGTCAGAAGTCTGTGGTGATATTGGTTTTACCTACCAAGAAGAGCTTCTCTTGCACTTCTGCCTCTTGATGAGGAAGATGAATTGCGATGACTTCGCCGCTGGATACGAAGTAAAGAATATTCCCAAATTTGATGATGTGGTTTTCCAGTACAAAGTCGGTGCGGTTGAACATTTCCACCAAATCATGGTCCAATCCAAATATGTGCATAGCAAGAAGAAAGTGATAACCAAGGGATACTTATTCGCGACGACGTCAGAAGGACTCAGTAAGCGAGACACAGATTTCTGGAACAGGTTCAACTTGAAGCAATATTTCAAGGCTATTATTGATATTACTAGAAAATCAGGAAGTGGTTGTGTGCAAAAATTTGTGATTCTGACCAACACTGCCATCGATATGACAGATCTCGATACAATTTTAGAAAATAATAATGAATTTGATAAGCTGTTTTGTGAAATGGTGGCGAAAGGAACTGAGATCAAAAAGTTTACCTCCAATTCTAAAGAAAATTTAAAGACTATTTTGAATGTAATCGGGATAGAAGACGCAGATACGATGGCCGAATTTATTATTGATAATTTCATCTTTGTCGTAAAGTCGCCTGATGTCAAAGACTTGGAGGCACTTAATAATATGTTGATGGAGGATATCATTGTGGCAAATCAAGAGTGGCGCCGTGATGTTTTAGACAGAAAAATGCTGCAATTTATCGAAATCCAAGGCCCACATAAGAAACGTAAAGTACTCAGAAAGGCAGACTTCGAATGTGTTTTAATGGAGACCGTTCTCGAAGTTGAAAACTTAACAGATATTTCGGCAAATTTTCTACAAGAAATGCCCTTTGAAATTGAATTTAAAGATGAATTAGCATCAGAAATAGTGAAAAATACAATAATTTCTGACTGCGAGGAAAGTCTCAAAATTAATACAATCAGAGTTTTTCAGAGTATTAATAAACATTCATTGGATACACTATTGGTGCCATTATCACGACTGAATCAATTGCAGAGAAGTGCTTTGCGCTCATATACAAAGAAAATTGTTCTTTTGGTTGATGAAGATTGTGTGCCAAGCTTTTTAAGAGATAATGATAATATAATTTTCGTCCAAACTCGCCAAGAAAATCTTATCGATCATCCGATGTTGCCTCAATTTTCTATTAGTGATTTGACTCAGAACACAATTGACAAGTTCATAGAAAATGCGGAAATTTCCTTGCAAAAACACAAAATAAATCTGAAAAGTATTGAGAATAGGATGAAAAATAATTACATAGAACTTCTGACAAAATTTATTGTTAAGTTATACAATAAAAATGCTTTTGAAATGGGTCAAAGCTTACCGAAGAATAGAATACCAGTGATATTCATAGAGAGAAGATTTTCTAATACAGAGGACGGCTATGATTTTTTGACTGACAATATTCTTACAAAGTATTCTCGTTGTATCGTGAAAGGTGGTCCGGGTATGGGAAAATCATCAACATTGCAAAAAATGATGACCGATTTTAAAAGGAAAAATCCGCACTTTTGGGTTGAATTCTTTGAACTACGTGCTTTGTCGGATGTGTTTATGGATAAGTTAAAGGCTGGTTCATCAGAATTTTCTTATGAAGAAGCGAGAGAGTTTCTTCTGGATAATCTTATGAATTATGATGATTGTTTATTTGACCGAGAACTACTTGAGTACTACTTAACTCTGGAGAACCCTGCAATTTTGTTGATATTCGATGGGTTTGATGAAATAATGCCGACTTATGAAGAGTTAGTATTGAACTTGATTACTAAAATATCCGGGCTAAATGTTAAAATCTTCATTTCCGGTCGTTTGCATTGCACTGACGTATTAAAGAGACTAACAAATTTTTCTGAGGTTTATCTCTCAACCTATAATGTTGGCGACGCTATTCAATTTTTAGACAGATACTGCGCGCATTATATTTCTGAACCTTCTGTCAGAGTATCAATTGGAAAGGTGATGAAAGATATAGTTTACTTCTTTGAACTGCAATTAACAGATCAACCGCCTGAATTACGAACGAAACACAGTCTTTTCTCAACTCCTCTAATTCTGAAGTTGATGGCTGATGTTGTCCTTGACGACTATGAGCAGTCTCCGGGAAATCTTGAGGAAATCAAAAATAAATACGCAAAATTCAGTGTCCTCTACATTTATAACAGGATATTTGAACAATCATTTCGGGTGTATTATGAGAAGGAAGGAATCCCGCCAACAAATAACTATGTTATCAAGAGGAAAATGAAGGAAATTGAGCGAGTCAGGAAGATCTACGCTTCAATTGCTGCCAAAGACTTAGGCGTAGTCCACTTGGTTTCGCTATCGAAGGAAATCGATGATGATTCGGAGATACTCGAAAGAGGATTCGTTGCTCGTGTTAACGATAAGGAACCGTCCTTCGTGCAAATTACCTTTGCTGAGTACTTCATCTCTACAAGCTTAGTGGATGAGATACAAAAAGGAAACGAAAGAGTCATGAAGCATTTGTACGAAATGAAGTACGAATATGAAATGCCAGGTAGCATAAGATACAGAGAGGCATTTTGTCATCCTGTCAAGGACTTCACTTATCAAATACTGCTAGAAAAAATTCAATTGAATGAGATAATTATTAAATCGAATGTTTCCGATTTCAACTGTTTATTCTCTTTTTTGCAAGACTTGATAATTTTTTCGTATTCTTTTTATGATCAACACCTATCAAGGGTATTATCGTATGTGCGTAATTTTCTAAATAAGGAAGATAAGGAATACTTTGATCTTGTTGAGACCGCCTTTATGCTTCGTAACTTACCTTTCAGTTCCAACATATCTGCAGCACGCTTCCAAGTCTTATTGAATCTCATTGAACAAAGTAAAGATGTTACAAAAGTGTGGAAATTTTTGAATACCTGCAAAGAACGATCTTTGCAAAAATGCATCCAACTAGCAGATATGCCATCAATTGAACAGTTTTATGTCACTCACTCTAGATATGACAGTTCCTCAGTAAGAGATTATCTCCATGAAGTTTTAAATATCCTGAAAAACACATTTGATCATTTTCTAAGTGGGAATTCAAGTAATGAGAAAGCCAAAATTTTGTTCTTTTGGTATTTTGATAAATTATATTCTATATCCAATGATTACTTTGCCGAAATTAATGACGAATTGGTAAATATTTTGAATCCCGATTGTTTCCCTATCCAGTATATGTATTTTCTATACTTTTACGAAAGTGATAAACACAAGTCGGAGGAGTATTTAAAAACGTTCTGGCGCACAATCCTCTCAAATAAAGACGAACCTGTTCATTTGTTATTGCTTGAAAATTTACTGCAGGATGGATTTTATTTACAAACTGAGAAATATGAAAATTCTCCGCAATTTTTCACAGAGAAAAGTTTGTTAATTCTTAAAAACATGGGTTATAATTTTATAATGCCAGACGAATCATCTATTTTATATCCGCTGTTCATCACTCGAAAAAACAGACTCTTTCAAGTATGCCTTGACTTCTTTTCTAGAGAAGAAATTATATTTTTGACGGACAGTCCGCATTTTGAAGAGAAATCTTTGGTTGACTATTATCACAAAGAACAAAAAATTCCTTATACAATGTCTTACTACATAAAGTACTTGTATGACAATCACGAAGATGAAGAACTCTTGAAATATCTGCCTTCCTATGATCAACTAGAGAACTTTGCTGATCAAGTTAGGAAAGACCTAAGATTCTGTGTTCATTTAGGACCAAGGATAGTAAAAAGAGCTGTTGAAAAGGTCTGCAACAACGCCTTAAAGTGGGACCAATCGAATGAAAAGAAAACCCTTTTTCTTCACAATGCCGTCAAGGCTCTTTATAATAAGCAAGCAACGACAGTTATTGACCTCGTTTTGAACTACCTTAAAGCTCACAATTTATTCTTAGAGAAGTTTTTTGAGAAGGATACTTATGGCAATTTACCAATTCACATTTGCGCCGTAGAAAATAATCACTTTTATTTAGAAAAATTACTTGCTTCTATCAATTTTACCATCATTTTGGATGCATTAGAAAAAATAAATGATCGTAACCAGAATTTCTTTCACTGTGTCAAAGTTAAAATTCATTCTCAGGAATTGCTGAATAATATTGGTGTTCTGCCAAGTCTCCAAAAATACGTAGAAAATCTATCAAATTCAAAGGAAGTTAAAGATAAGCTGTCAAAATTACTCTGTTATAAAGACAAATCAGGAAAACTTCCCCTACATCAAGAAAACATTGGTATATTTATTCCTTTGATAAGTGAAGCCGATATTGAGTTCTTATACACAACCGTTGATAAAGAGGGGTGTAATGCGTTTCATTACTTTTCGGATTGCAGCATAAACTCAATGCATCATTCAAAGCCCATTGAATTTATTGAAACTTTGAAATCAGTAAAAGATGATGCAGTAGAAGCAGCCTTAATGGCTAAGAATTGCAGGAATGAAACACCTTTGGATATTTGTATTAGAGATAGTAATGAACTATTTGCAAATATCATCATGGACATTCTAAAAATGTAAATTATTCTTACAATCAACTTATAAACAGATATAATAGAAAGAAGGAAACTTGAAAAACTTTAATAAAAATATAATGATTTATGAAAGAAATAAATGTTCGTTATGTGTTCACAAAAATTGTCTTATTACTTCGCAATCTATACTGAAGTAGAAATTGAGTAGAATGAGCCACGCGAAAAACGAACAATATATTCGTTACAAACAAGTGAAGAAGAAAAAAAGATGCCGATATTCCCGACCATCCCCTACTTGAGGCATAAAACAAATTTCCAGTGAATGAGTTACTATGGAAATACCCAAATAAGATAAGTTCCGTCTTTCAAAAATGTTTTATTACTTTTCAATACTTTATCACAGCACACTGATGGAATCATTGCCACGTAATACCGTATCTAATCAGATACTGAAATCATATTGCTCGCAATTTTTTTTACGGGGAAGTCCCGAAATGTGTCGCTTAAATTGATAAGAATTCTCTGGAGAAGAGATTTTTGCAAACAACATTTCAATTCTCCATGGAATTGGGTATCGTGATATGTATGCAAATAAGTTTTACTTCCTGGGTAAACTATTTGCAATGTAATTAATACGGAATGTGAACTTCAGGCTCGGTGCAAGGACATACCCTTCTCTGGGGTTAATGTGACGGCGTGGTCAGGTTTTAGCAGCTAGATTGTGCACAATCATACAGCTGAAATTGCTTCTTCGTCAAATATAAGGCCTGATATTGACAAATTTGTGCATATCATTGGATTTTCCCAATTTTCATTCAATGAACAACAAAACAGGCATGTGGGGTGGGGTAATAACATGCCCCAACCTCGTTCACTACCATACTCTAGTTCCACTTTCATGGTAACGGCCAGGGTGGAATTCTGCACTCCACGTATACTTGGCGAATATTAGATTTTTTCATCTAAATTTCAGCCTTGGTGATTTAACTAGGGCAATGGAATTAGGTGAATTCTAGCATCCGATATTATTGCTCTGGATTTGTTAGAGACAAATACACTAATCGACACTGTAAGTCAGGAAGAGAGACAAAAGGAAAGACTGAAAAAGTTGGAAAGCTCAAACGTGGAGCGTGAGTCCCACCCTTGATAGTTTGATGAATGTTTGAGCAAAATATCGCTGCCAGGCATGAAGCCATGTGACTGTTGGCTGATCGCCTTGCCGAGGAAATCCTTACCGTCAGTCGCATTCGAACCGTGGCCGATACCAGAGCAATGACGGGCGGGAATCGCACCCCGTGGCCCAGTGGAACCCTCCGGAGGCAGAAGTCCTGCATGGACGGCTTTCTGGTGGCGGCCACAGTTCGTGGGCGCCCAGAGAGACTCCAGAGGCAGTTCTCTGTGGATCAGGATATGCGACAATATCCAGCCACTCTGCGGGAGGAAGCAAAGAGCTCAGAGTCCAATTTCCGGCCCAAGAAACGCCAACCTGAAGTCGCTCCGAAAAACGAGTGAGTAACAAAAAAATCGAACTCGCAAAGAAACAACTCTATTGGATTAAAGAAATATATTCCATTTGCGCTATACAAGATATACGAAGGCGAAAACTTTTCCATAACAATACTATTCAGTGTATGGCTTTCATTCATAAATTGTGTCGTGTAAAAATTCCACTTAGTTTGCAAGTTTTTCCAACTTTTAACTTCCACATGAGAAAAGTTTTCTGGTTGGAAAATATTCCATGTGAACCCTTTTGAACCTTATATCTACTTTCTTTATTGCAATTAACCACAAATACGACAATTGTGCGATACAATGCTGTGAAAAAAAGACAAAATATTTCAGGAATTGCGATTTACTGTAATAATGTGTAATTCCTTTTGCTAATTAAACTTGCATTTTCATTGTGTGTGCGCGAATTTTGATCATTTTAGTATTAAGTGAAGTCTGTTTAGTTTTCTTATCAGTTATAATATCACGTTCAGGATCACGTTATGTCCGAGAATAAGATTTCTCTGAATAACTTCGACTAACTTTTATTTCCCTCTTATTTGCAGACAGCAATTAAATGGCAGCGATTTGTCCGAGAGGCTAAAGAAAGCCCTCAATCGTCGGGACAATCGCATCAATCTCAATATCGTCCTCACTCAAGTGTCCAACATCCCCGAACCGGAGGCTATCAATGCCAGTGACTCTGAGAGTCCATCGAATGAACTGGTGCAGGCATCAGTTGATTCTAAGGCTGCCAAGGAAGTGCAAGATCCGTCTCTGAGAGAAATGAAGAGCGTCCTTAAGCCCAACTCCGGTAAGATGAATCGCGGTCAGCGTCCTCCACTGGTTAGGGCCATGTCAGCCCCTATCAGACCAACGGCAGAACCTCCGCAGAACCGACGAAAAACTGCACGCAGACGGAAATTCGGACGGGACAGGGAAGAGAACCTTCTGATGTCCTCTCGAAAGAGTCTGGAACGCCAGGATGCTGTAACAAACGACACTTCGCCAGCGAGGAATTCACAAGGGAGTTCAAAGATTACCGAACGCAAAGGCTCTTCCGTGATATCAGGAGCGAGATCTTCTATCGGATGCGATATCGTAACACTCGTCTCGCTGCTCAGCTCCGGTGGAAGTGACTCTGAACGGGAAGACAATGGCCAGTCAGGCACAGGGAAGTCCGAGAAGATCGTTGTGAGACCACCGTCACTCAAGAAAACCGGCAAATCTGTGTCCTTCCAAGACAATGATGCTGACCTCTTCCCGTCGCCACCCAAAGATTTCTCATCGATGTTTCGTCGCGGATCTGTGGCTCCACTGGCGGCTCGAATCAGGTCTAATCGACCACCAACGGCTCCTCCAGGATCGATTTTCATCACAGACTACGACAAGGGGTGAGATGAAGCTTCTTATTCTTTACTAAATCGCCCCCAGTTTTGTTTATTGGGTAATCAATCAATCAGTCTATCTAAAAGTACACAAGCGGAGATAGCAGAAAACCAATTTTCGGTTCAATGCACTTGCTTTGCACCATACAACATCGTGCGATAAAAGGCTATTTCTATCAATTCTCACCCACAATACATAGAAAGATTTAATCTTATTGCAACAGAAATGTAATGTAGAACTTTCTGGATGTGTAAAATACTTCGCCAATTCTGGGAAAATGCTGTATTTTATGATTAAATTTAATGGTTCGGCAAACACGCGATTTTAATTGTAAATTAATTATTTAAATTGAATTTATCTGATTTTTAACTTTATTTTAATAAGTTTACTATGAAAAGTGCCCTTTAAATTTAATTCCTTTTTACTTAATTAATTTTAAGGTAGGTGTTATATTGAAATTTTTCCAAGTCAATCTCCACTTTTAAATCAATACCAATCAAATTGGCGAGGAAAATTTATTGGAAAATATCTGTTTATTGCAAGCTGTTGACGCAAGTTGCGGATAAAGAGGGAAAATATGGAAATGAATCTTGTGACTTTGGATGACACTATTCTTCTGCATGAAAGTGAATTACCATCGCGAGCACGCAAAGTGGAGTAAAAGCCCTCTCAAATTGCCATGTAGAAGCAAAACTTAGGGAGCACGTAAATATTTATCGTCTCAATCGGCGATTGATTCCAAATATATCCCGCGAAAAAAAAGTCGAGGAAAAGGGTCTGATTGTGCCCATTGGCGGTGACATTGAAATTAGAATACACACAGTGTCGAGATGCTCGAGTGGCGGACGGAGATTTTTCATGGAGAAGACACATTACTTAGTGAATTACCACAGTTTGTATTAATGAGTTTGTTTTTGGCCTTCTCTATTCCTTGCAATTAGATGTGGAGACGACCTCATGTCGCTCAAGAAGGCGCCCGCCGCTCCGGCCAAGAACACCTTCGCCAAGGTGACTTCCAAGGCGATCATCGAGGACAAATGCAGCTCCAATGAGGATGAGCAGAGCCCAGACAACCTGAAGACAGCCAAGGAGCGCGAGTGCTGGAAACTTTTCCAGAAGATGACCAACAGAGGCATTTCAGTGTCTTATGATACCATTTTGCGCGGGATGCTCACGCCCACGGAGCTGAGGATGATCCAGAAGAAGCAGGAACTGGAGAATGCCAAAAGAAATTCGATAGAGGAAACCACAAATCCAAAGGGAGGCTCCTCAGTCGGAAATCCAATGTCATCATCCAATTCAAATCGTGATAAAGTGAAGAATGTTGTTAAATAGTGAGAAAATTGGCTACTTTATATGAACACAGTGACATGAATTAATGAGATTCTATATCTCACTGTATACTCTGTTGATTTTAGATCATTGTTGTTAGATTCTTAGCCTGTTTATCGTTGAATCAAGTCAAATTTTGTTTCATTATTCAGACATTAACATAGATTTATGAGACGTGTTGTTGGCTTTTAGGACACTGCCAGGAGCTTTGTTACAAACAATTGGTAATGTTATCACTATACGGGACCACACATTTTGTATTGACGACATGAGAAGAGAAACACAACAATTGTCACACTCACACAATACCTATCTTGCTCTTTGCTAATGTATATTTAAAAGGTATTCGTTGAGATGAGGGAAGAAGTTTAAAATTATAAAGTCCATCCATTTTAATTACATTGAGTGTTTGATTATAAAGGAGCATATTTTCGCTTTTTAATTTCAGCATTAAAATACATTACTAAAAAATTGATAATACTTTATCACTTTTATCACACACACTTTTTCTTCTTCTTGAAGTGTGAACATATCTTTTTGTAATAAAAAGATTGTAAGAGGAAAAATTGTGAAATATATTAATAAACAGAACATAATGAGTCTAATTTTTGCAATTTTATGACAAAAACTAGTGAAATGTATTTGAGAACTTATAAATAAACAAAAAATTATAATTAATTATTGGCACACAATAATTACTTTTTACCTGACAACTTTTTTTTGCTTAGTATGAGATTTGTGGCGGAGTTTGCAGGTGAAAGGACATACAAATTACAATCACTGGTACTATCATGTTTTATGTATAAAAAATGGCACTGAGAATTTATAAATAGTGCGGATGAGCTGCGGTTTAGTCACTCTTCAGATATGATTCTAATGGATTTGGCCCTCGAAACTTTGACTGAAGTGGTTTTGATTCATCTGCAGAAGAAAGAAAAATACAGTCGAAGAGTTTAAGGGCGCAATATTGATTTTTTGTTTCTTTTGTAATACTTGTAATACTTTTCCCCAAGTTTGTTGACGTTCGAGTTGTTTGCAAGCAATTCAGCCACTCTGACAGTGTTATTTCTCGGTCATTGTTCACATCGCAATATCGTGGAAGTTTCTTGCCACATTTCCTGAGTGATCTGCAGACAGAACAACACCAATGAGTAGTCTAATACAATAAACTGCTGGTAAACATACTTAATAGGCATAACCAATTCCCTGAATGTCTTCCACTCTCTCCGTTCCCACATTTTGTTCTTGTTCTTATCCAGGATCACGAAGCTCAGAGTGGCCAATTTCTCATCCTCATTGTTCCATTTTGTAGTATTTGTGGCGCTATTGGCATTACCAATGAGCTCATCTTTGAGGTATGCCTTGAGTTCCTTCAGAAAGTCCAGCTTCTTCCCTTCCGGGCATCCTTTCATTGGCCTCGTGGGCGAATAGATAGCGTCGCACTGTGGCTTCTTATCCTTAGTCGAGGTGCCTGGAATGTTCTTTCCAGTGTCTTCATGTACGCACCAGCAATATCCTGTAGATCTATAGCACTGCACTCGCTGATATCTTCCGTCAGGAGTGCATTCAGGCACGTAGAGCGCTGTTGTTCCGGACTATAAAAAGAATAATTAAAGATCGTTTGGCGAAACAAGTTTTCATATGTGTATTTTAGCATATTTGATCATTACTTGAGTGATTGTATAAGGAGATATCTGTTCAAAAAGTAGTTAATGTTACCTTCTGTTCATCCAGGGCTGCAGCTCTGTCTGCCAGGCAGTCGGATTCACCGTCATTTGCATCCCTCCCTAGAGTATCTCCATCCCCAGATAACTGCAGAGTTGTTTTCCCTTGCAGCACTATTTCAAAGTACAAATGAAAGCAAGTAAATATCTACACAGTAGTGGAGGAAAGGATAAATCAACAGAACATAAATCAAACTTAAAAGATAAAACATTATGAACACATATAAGAAACTCTTTGTGTTGTCGAATTAAAATTTTTTTTAGTCAAAATAAAATTTGTTAAGTGACCAAAATAATGAATTTCAATGTAATGAGACCAAAACCTAATAAAATTACATTTGTTAACCAAAACTGAAACGAGTCAATTGGCCCAAAGAGTCCATTTCGTATATGTGCTGCTGGACATAAATTGTGACTGGATACATACAGAAGCTGGGCTTCTTGTTCGTAGGGAATGGGCGGCTTTCGGTGGTATCAACAAGGTCATTCGTTGAGCTCGCGTACTCATCCTCGTAGTACTCATCGTCCTCATCTTCCAGCAAGTCTTCCTGAGCTATGCCAGCATGGCCACTGGCAGCTGATGCCGGCGTCAGCATGGTGAATAAAACAAGGGAAACTGAATGACTTTTCACGCGATCGCGGACACCGGATGGGCTCCGACTTTAGTGCAGTTAGTAAACATTCTCACTTTGATAGAGACTGATTAAACATGAACCCATGAATGACTGTCTTTCATATGAATGAATCTACTCTGGGAGCTGTTAATCACTACAAAGCATCTCACATGGGCCACGCGAGTGTGTCAGTTGGCGTTTCATGACAAGGAATTACTGCTCGATACCACAAAGCACCAGACAAGTGATTAGAATCGCGCTCCAGAGTTCCTACGCAATTTTGAGGTCATTTCTGGGCCCTCAGGCACACTTTGAAACTCACAGTTCGATGTATCCTTTGTGAAACAGCTGCTCCACTCACTCTTGGAGAGTTTCTCGTTGTGATCCTCATCGCAGAACTTGCCGAAAGCGCGGGCGCACCGTTTGGGCTTCACAATCTTCTTCACAAGCTTCTTGAGTTCGCGAAACTCACCTTTGTCCAGAATGTTGTTACGATTGCGGTCCAGACCGATAAATTTCCACTCTAACACCATATTGTCGGATACTCCAGGAACTATGAAAGAAAAGTGCGACAGTAAAAAGTTCAGTCTTGGAATGTGATAAACAAATTCGAGTTCATTTTCAAATTACACTTACGATCTTCACTTCCTTGCTGATTCTTCTTGTACCGCTGAAATTCATTGTGGAACATCTTAATTAGGTTAGCATTGAACTGAGCCTTGTCTATCTTTGTGCAGGGCTTTTTCATGCGCAAATGCACATCTGGTGATCTCCTCGTGTTCACTTTTCCTGGCCGTATACACACGGGCTTCACTCCCTTCACGGTGGTATTCCTGACTGGCTTTCCTTGTGGTGTGACACACCAGCAGTCATCCTCTAGGCACTGCACAGCGGCGTACGTTCCGTCAGCACGACATCTAGGCACGAATTTCATCGCAGACCTGTGAGCGAGAGCATAGTTCCTCGATGCGGCACATTCGTCTGCAAAAAGAGTCGATTTATCAGCGAATGGTTGAATTTTATTTTATCCCTCAAAAGCATAATTACTTTTACACTTCCCTCGATGCTTGAGACTGACTTGATGACCACTGCATTGCGCTCTCAGGAGGTGACATCGCGTCGGGTAGGTTTGATTGTCTGTTCCGCAAACGGGCCTTCCTCTGCTTTCATTGCATTCTCCACCTTTAGCTGCGCATTCAGATATCTGGCAAGAATAAGAAAAGAAATCGTATGTACATTTGAGATTTGGAAAATGACCGGGCAAACGCAAGAAATGCCTAAAAACGTTCTGCCATGCGTCACTGAGGCTTCCAATGTCAATAACTCTCTTCATCGGCCTGAATCTTATAATACATGAGTTTGGGAATTTCAATGTAATAAAATCCAACGCGATGTGGAAAATAAAAAATGAAAACGACACATTCCATATTAGTTTTTACACGCATTATTTGCTTTAATGTGACCCCACGAAAAAAATATGCAGAAAAACTCGTTCGCGCACGAACACATTAATAAAACGATAATATTGGCGCCATCTCTCTTATAGATCACACTTATGAGATCATAATGCTGTTTTATAATTAATTAATAGCGTTTCAGCTCTTTTATCCACAAGCCATCGATTCTCAGCGCTCAAGCTGAACTTGAGACTGTGATTTTTGAACGATGAGACATTCCAGGGATTAGATGTTGACTGAAAGCGTGTCAAATGATGATACTTTGGATAAAGCGCCCAAGATTCCTCTCAATTTACCCGCGGCCAGACAATGATTTCAATAGAGAGAGATTGGGTGAATAAATTTAAATGAATTATCACAAATAGCCGTAACGTAATCACCTTGAATTTCCACCATGTCAGATAGTAAATTTGCTAGCACCGCACCTCAGATCAACATTAAAACGGTGCCCATTCTATGCTATTATTTGCTTTCAGTTAACTCGTCCTAGTCCACTTTTTTTCTCTGCTCTTAGTGCAAAGTTCAAAGCCGTAATTATGCAGTGAGACAGACTGCGAGGAGATTTTACCCAATATATTGTCACACATCGATAAATAATTTTTCTCAATTTCGCGTCTAGACAAAATGATGGGACCATAAAATTTATCCTTGATCATAATTCTTACTCGAAATCACGTATTAAGAAGAAAAAAACTTTGCAAAGTACATACTTTGCTCAATTTTCTTTAAACTATATATGTATGTATAAAAACACTTTATAATGTAATCAGCTACATATTCATGAATACGTATATTTCTTTTCTCACATCTTACACATTATAGATCGAGCAGTCAGAGCTGCACATAATATAAAGTGAGACTTACGCTGTCTTATTTTGCAATATATGAATCAAGTAGCCATTGCCATAGAGATTATGTTTATGGAGAAAAGAGGAAAAAAATATATAATTTAATGCCTCCATCAACTTGTCTGCCAGGCGTCTGCAAGTAAAGCTGGGAAAGTTACTTTATCAATTCATTGGTGTATTGAAATGAGTGGCATTTTATCAGACTCCAAAACAAGGTGGCTTTGCGCTCCGTTCGGAAAATCGGTCAGAAGAGGTTTTACATCAAAGTGAATTTGGATGTAAACAAAGCTAATAATACTTCAACACAATTTGCAATGGTAGCGCCAGGTAGGGAGAATTTATTGTTCCGCGAAAAATAATAACAAATAAACATAGACTTTCGCTGAAATCCTTTTTCCGAAGCGCGTCTTTTTATCCTAACTCGACCAACACATAAATCAACTGCGGGCAGAAGCGACCAATGTGTTTATTGTGACTAGAAATCTACAAACAGATTATTTCCATCAGTTGCTAAAGAAGCTGCCTATGAACTTTATTAGTGTACGTATACGAGAGTGTGGAAAATGCCGTCCCATATGAGAGACTTATATGCCTTTGCATGTGAAATGTATGTAAATTGTAATTGCAGTCGCATTTGCACACCGACTGAATAACAGTGAATGAGAATTAATCATTAAATTAATTGGAAATACACCACCCACGAGCAAATCAGACGCCGGAAGCTCAGCAATTTACTCTCACTCTTTCTGGTTTCTGCCCGGGCTTTTTCCTACAAATCCCATGCGCTTTGCGTATGCAAAGGGAGGCTAAATGGATCAACTCCGCATCAAGATTGATGGTTCAACCGTAAGCAGGAAATGTTTAGGTGGTGGTTAAGGCATCCAAAATTGCGTGAATTAAATTAAAACTGAATTAACATTTGACTCACACATTTCTTGTTTTTTCAACTTTTCGCCTTTTGCGCTTGTTTATTTTCAACCTCTCTATGGAGCATCATATCAATTGCTGAAGCAAATTAGGGTGCGACTCACTCACAGCCCTCACAGCTATTGTCATCGCCTCGTGTTTGTCATGTTATATCATCCGCAACAAAATCTCGAGAGGATTCAAAAATATTTCTGAAGAATTGCCTTTTTTGTCCATGTCTTTCGATAAATAAAAGAAGCATGAATTTTTATTTCACTGCCAAGTGTGTAAAAAAATAAATTAGGATGATGTAATTGATGTGCTATGACAAATAGATAAATATTGATTGAATGTGCTAACAGCAAATTTGCATTGAAGCAGAAAATCCGTAAATATGGACGTTTTCTACCACAAAATATTCTTGTTCCGCGATAAGTGATGTATTTCGAATGGAACTCCATTCAAATGTTTGCAAATCTCTCTCGTTTCTCGTGTGCCTCTTTTTGGAAATACATTATGTGTTTTCACCTGAAGACGGCTTCACAATTAATGTGCGGGTGAGTGAATGGATTTGTAAAGACATTCGAGATGTTGAGGCTCACCGTCGGATCTTGCTCTCAACGTGAGATGTTTCTCGATTTGGGATATTAGACAAATAAATAGTCAAATTGTATACAATACAGTTTCAGACTTTTATTAGGCAAACTCTCATGATTCCATGAAGCGGAAGGTGATATTTCAGACCATCAAATTTCAGATATTGTTCATAAATTGTCTTGTCCTGAAAGCGATAGCGAATATAGTAACATCTAGCAGTACTACATTCATATAATACTATGATTTTTAACTCATCTGACTCTGTAAAAATGTCTTCACTGAAGCAGAGTACTAGGATACCTTTTCGAGTAATCTTGAAGCAAATTCAGTGAACACCATTTTGGTAAATGGGAAATGTTTACCAAAATTCGAGAATACAGTGCAGTCGTCATGCTGTGCCACTGCCACCAAATCTCTATTTTGTATTTTAATGGTAAAGAGAAGAGTGAAATTAATATTGTTTCATTGACAGAAGTCAGCAAGTGTTCTCGTTGCGAGGCAAGAAGTACCCATCGAGGATTGAAGTCTTCTGTTCTCCCTCGACTATTTCACGCGAAAGATTTATTAACACACGAGAGCGTTGAGAGAGAAATGTTAACAAGACCTAGATCTTTTTTCAGCCTCGTCAAGTCAAATTGATTCCTAATCACACACGTACACACTCCATCTCTCTCCCTCTCGCTTTCCCTCTCTCCGTCTTGAGTGTTATAAGTAACTCCTTCGCCCAATCTTTGGTGTGTGAAGAAGGTGTGATGTTCGGGGCGAAAGAAGGAGAAAAAAGAGAATCGCGAAAGGAGTACGAAATCCAGTTCCTTCATCTGACCAGAATTTTCAACGAAACGCGCAGAACAAAGCCGAAGGTGAGTGGGAATTCACCTTCAAAGGATACCGCCCCGTCTTTTGAGAGTGCAAGAAACGAAGCAAAAAAGAAGGGAGACTCTGGGCGAGAGCAACTCTGTAGACAGCCTGACTCCGGCCAGATGTTCATCTTCGTCCTCTCCTTTGTCCCTTCCATTCTCAGAGACGAGCTGCTCAAGAACTCGAGGAACGTCGTGACTACAAATTTTCAAGAGGTTTCTATTATATTCGCCAGAGTGTTTATGTGAGAAGAGAATTGACCACAACCCAAATGAAGAGGGACTTTTTGTCTGCCTCTTCTGTTCCTCATATGCCTTTTTCTCACCGGCCCATTTAACTTCTTCCATTCCACTTCTTGCCTCGTTTCTTGCGCACCTGCAGAATCCCAGCCGTGGAGTCTTCGGGACACGCCGAGAAGGTACTCAGTCTTATTGAAAATCAGTGTGAAACTGAATTAATTGGCACACGTGTGTGCGGAATTTAATAACCTTATGATTAACTCCGAGACCCAACTTGACCTGACTCTTAAGTTAAGAGAAGATAGATGTATTTATGATCTCCATAAATATGCATTTCTCTGTATGTACAGGGTTGCTTTAGATATGGAGTACTATTTTATATACATGATCTCATTAATTAGAATAACGCAAATTGAATATTCAATAGAGTTGAGTGACTTGATTAGAATATTTCCCACCTGAGTGGAGAAACTGCTTTTAGCCCGCGAAAGCATTTTCCGCCCATCTCTCGACAGCTATGTACACTCCTAATTGCAATTCCGGATTAAAACAAAAAAGAAGTCCCCACTCACCGTTGGCTCTGCGCCTTTCAGCGTGGACGACGTGAGTCCCAAGTGCAGCAGCGTTGACAAGAGGAAACAAAGTGACACCAGCATTTTCTGCATTTTCATCCCACAAACACTCTTTGTACAGTTTATTTTCTCTCTAGATCGTTCGCGTCACCACGTCAAATAGGCACTAAGAGTATATTTGGGCTGTCGTCTCACCGTCACTGTGACCAAGAAGAGTTCATTTCCACAATTTCTGCACATTTACATGCTAATGATATCGGCGAGAAAATGGCTTCTCCGAAGGAGGATAGTGTGCCGTGTTAGCGCTTCTAAGGTCAAACTGGGAATGAAGTCGAAGGTAAAATATTGCCTCTTAAAGAAGTTGAAAGTGTGTGACGTGCTGAGAAACGATCCCTCATTCGTACGAAGTGAACACCAAAGAACGAAAATCACAGGGCTTCTCTACAAATATGCAAGCAAAATCTTATTATTTGACAATTATCTCGAGAAACAAATTAATTCACCTTAAGTGTATATCAAATTAAAAGATAACGAAACGTATCGAATATATGCAGATAATTGCAAAAGCCGTACAAGATAGTAAAAAGATAAAAATTTCTAATTTTGTTGCAAAATAAGTGAATAGCCCTGTCAGATAAAAAACCACTCATATTGTAGGCAATGAAGGAAAAATTACGATCTTTTAATTCTGCAATATTTAAGATCTCAAAAGCCACAAAAACTACAGAACCCACTTCATGCCAGTCGAATTGTTGTCTGTGGGGAAAAGGAAAACCTCCAGCATGGCTTCGCTAATTGCTTTAAGAAATATATCAATGGATAAGATACTGAATGTTGTGAGTTGGCGTCTGGTTGTCTGTCGTTTCTTCGGCTCATTTTGACTCAAATACCCTCACCACGCACACAGAGTAGAAAGCCAAACATGCACCTCGCCGAGCATAAAATAAGTGAACATTGAGGTCTTATAGGAGAACCAAACCATAAAGGAGCGGCCCCGAGACTCAAGTCTTGGAGCGAACAATCCCGCCTCTCGCATCTCAAAAAATGCCCGACATGGGAAATATCACCACTGACTGGATATGTATGTAGAGACGAAAATTATAAATAAACAGGCTCAGAGTAGAACGTCAATCGGCAATAGAGCAGATGGAATTCGGTTGTGGAGATTTTTCTGAGTAAAAAAAAAGTGTTAAAAGTCCGCGACTATTCGACTCCATTAATTGCATATAATTTCGCTAAATACAAGTGGCGCCTCAATTATCGGCTCGAGTGAGGGGAATATTTAACAGAATTCTTGTGGATATTTGTTTGAAAACTCGCAAGATTTATTATTAATTCTTAAGCGCTTTTGCACACTTTACTCCCGTCTTTCAGTAACTCCACAGAGCATATTTTCTTCGTCCACGCCAACCCAACATTATACAGAATGAGAAAAATCCAGAGTTTTGAACAAGATCTCCGTGAATACTGTTTAGCCCATGGCAAGCGTCCCTTCACAAGATGAGAAATCACGCGTGCAAATAGTCACTATCCGCACCACTTTAGAGAATGTACAACGCAGCAAGGAAATTTATTCCCGTAAATATGTTTATTTAGCCAGAATATTCCTGAAATCTCAACATTTTATCTTTCAATGCACTTCGCGCCTCAGAAACTCGATGTTGGTATCAATTAAGCTGTTAAAGTACCACTGAAATGGCTAAACGAAATAAATATCCGAGAAATCAAGTTTTTTTTAGTGGGGAAAAAGAAAGTGGCTTTTAGGCAAAAAGACGCGCACATCGAGAATCTTATTGAGGTTTTTGGAAATAGTTTCTCGACTCTTGGCTACAGCATTATGTAAATAAATGTGTACACAGAGACTGGTTGAGAATCGCACAAATAGAACAAGTGAGACAGAGAAAGCAATTAAATTCTCGCATTCAAGTGAAATTAAGACACTTCACATCCCTCGCAAAGCGCGGAAAAAAGTGGCCACTTTTAATTAATTAATTCGAATGGTAACTCATATGCAAGTTGGCATGAAAACTTTTCATGTCTAATGTGCACTTTTGGAAAACTGCACACAGAATTGTCGGATTGACTTCAATATTGGGCTGATGTTGTGTTTCGTATGCAAAATGGGAATAATTAAATTCAATGCAATTGCAAGTCCAATTGACTCATCGTCACTGACACGAAAGACACTCGCGAGTTGCCAATTGTAGTTTAGTGGCTTCCCGAGAATCTACACTGAGGCACACCTCGTCCACAGGAAGCGAAGGCCAGGCACAATTCCAGCCACGCCAAGATTTCTGGGCACAAGAGCTTCTTCAACACACCGCGTCTTTTCCTCCTGAAACTCTGCCAGCGACTGACGACAACGTGCCACTCTTCTAAAGTGGACAGTTGGGGCATCCACGAACAGACACGAGTAGATCTCCGATATTAAGTGATAAACTCGCTTTGTGACCAGCCCGCGAGGCTTAGCGCTCGACATCAACGCAGAGTGGCTAGAATCTCGCGCGCATCCATCAGTAAATACAAATCACGGCTATTCAGCAAAATATATTCTTTTGAAGAAGTCATTTTTATGCTTTTGTCTATCTTCAGTAATTTGATCTGTTTTTATTTTCTCAGGTGCGAAAATCAGTCTAGAATTTCTGAGAATACTTCACTTAGGAGACACTTGATTAGACATTCAGACTGATATTAGCCTAATCTTAGACGTAAAGTAAATTTAAGTTAAGTGTACATAATATTAATTAGAAAAATGATGAAAGGTTGATTAAAAAAGCACTTCTTTCGGCTCTTACAATCCCCAAACTCTAAAAAACTTGTATCTCTCTCACTTAATTTTCCCAAATTACCTTTTCATCAAATTTTCATTGATTGCTAATTTCAATCTGCAAATATCTTGCTTTTCAGATCAAATAACAACAGAGGTTTAATTAGAAAATGTTTCTCCTTTATTTACACTATTTAAATGAATAGTCTTAAGCTACTGAGGGAGCGACTTGGGATTCATTCACTTGGCCAGATTCTGGGATTTCCTGGCTTCAATTTCAACATCTGAGGGCAAAATAGAGTCAGTGCTTCCAGTGGAATCGTCAATTCTGGTGCCATTCTTGGGGCTCTCTTTAGGCGGATCGCCATTTCCATTAGATTGTATGGTTTTATACACAGTCATAGCTTGAGCCACCATCGATGAGACATCGCCCACGTTCTGGGGCAGGATGAGGGTGTTGTTCTCACGGGCGAGGTTTTGGAACGCTGACACGTACTGCTCAGCAATCGCCAGAGAGGCGGCGTTTTTCCCGTCCTTCGCCATTAGAGACTTGGCCACCATCTGCAGACCTTTCGCTCTGGCATCCGCAATAGCCAGCATCGCTGCAGCCTCACCATTGGCCTGGTTGATCTGCTCCATGCGTTGCGCCTCAGATGCTAGAATTCGCGCTTGTCTTTTACCCTCAGCAACGTTTATGTCAGCCTCTCGGACGCCCTCGGACTCCAGGATGGCCGCACGCTTCCGCCGCTCCGCCTCCACTTGCATCTGCATGGCCTCGTGGACGCGTGAAGGCAACTTAATGTCCCGGATCTCATACCGAAGACACATGATACCCCAGGCGGCAGCTGCCTTGTTGATGGCATCCACGATGCTTACGTTCAGTGATTCTCTCTCCCGGAACACCTTGTCCAGCGACATTTTACCAAGCTCGGAACGCATCGTGGTTTGCGCCAGCTGCGTGATGGCGAATTCGGGGTCCTCCACGCCGTAGGAGGCGTAGTAGGGGTCCAGAATTCGAAGGTACAGCACCCCATCGATGCTGAGGGTCACGTTGTCTGACGTGATGGCGCTTTGCTTGGGCACATCGATGGCAATCTCCTTAAGGCTTTGCACGTACTTTACCCGGTCCACAATGGGTAGCAACACGTTGAGTCCCGGCTCCAGGATGCGGTGAAACTTGCCCATTCGCTCAACAACCCATGCCTGGAAAGAAGTCAACAGTGAGGTTATGTCGGCAATGTTCAGCCGAACGCCGGACGCTCACCTCCTGTTGCGGTACAAACATGATGACTGTGTTGATGGGGGTGGAGGACTTTTGGCGAAGCTGACTGGTGAAGAGGTAATTCCGTTGGTTCTGCAAGGTGACAAAGAATGCGAGGCATGTATTCTTATTGCACATTTCGGTAGTGATATTGCACGGGCTATTCTCACCTTGAGAGCAGTCAGATGGGTGCCCGAGAGAATCCTATTCGCCTGGCGGTACATTATCACTCAACTTAAGTGCAGAGGCGGCGAAAGTGTGGGAATAATCCTGAGAAATAAGAGCTTTGCTGAACACTGTTTTTGTATTCTCACCGCCACTGTGACAAAACGACCCGCAACGCGTACACCCAATCAGCTGATGAGATTGTGATTCCGTTGCTTGCCATCTCGGAGTGGCGCGCAATGTCGAGTAGAAAGATATTCACCTTTGAACGCACTTGAATTTAGTATGGAAGCGCCTGACATTACAATTAAACTTCCTTTCTGCTAAACCGCTAGTATAATTGGTCAATTGGGGGCAAATAAGCTCAGAATAATAGTGGTTCCCCGAGCCGCGGCACTCTTCGAAAGTCTGCTTCCGAAAGTCGCCTCTCGAAGATGGCTCGGCTCATACCTCATGTCATTTTACTTCTGTGTGTGCGTTTGATTGCAGTTTGATTAGAAAATCTCTCAATTTTCCCCATGAAAACAGACGAAATCACCAAAAATGCTATCAGTAGCGCGAAGCAGAGTGTCCCCCGATAGCCAGTGATATCACGCAATAGAGACCAAAGCTGTAGGAGCGAAGCAAATGTCAAGTGCATGACTGAGGAATTGTAGTGCGTTTTTTCCTGGAAGTCACCCTTATTTGATTTCACCATCCATCCCAAAATCAGTGCGTCATCTCAGTTCAGTTTATGGGTTGTCGGATATCTAGTCATGATAGTGACTCTCCACCGCCGAACACGATGTTTCGAGCCAATCCTGACCAGATCAACTTTAAGGCTCGTCTCGAGAAGAAACTGTGCTTGGTGAGTACAGCCCGAGGACATTTGGCAAAGTGACCACGTAATGCGGACTGTTTTTGTCTTTCAGGCCCGCGAAACCCCGGAGGCAGTCTTTGATATTAGCCAGTGCAATCTGAAGGAGGTCCCGCAGGGCGTATTCGTCCTATGCAAGGTCTTGAGGAAGGAGAGCCTCCTGCTCAGCGAGAACAAACTTTCGTCTCTGCTGTGCAGTGGAAGTTCCCTCGCGGACCTCTCCCTTCTCACAACGCTGGATCTGAGGTCCAATAAATTCAGGAAACTCCCCGATGAACTATACAAGTTGGAAAATCTCAGGGTGAGTGTGCTGAATAACCAAAATTGAATGTAATTTAAGCTGCTGTCTTTCTCCCAGGAACTTGTGGTGTCACAGAACCAATTAACCACTCTACCTCCCACTCTCAATCGTTTGCGGAAGCTAGAGCTTCTGGACATAGCTGAGAACTGCCTTCAGTCGATTGAACAAGTGTCTTGTATGCTCCAGCTTAGGATCCTCAATGTTAGTGGCAACCCCGAGCTGAGGACCATTTCCCCGCATCTCTCTACATGCGAGAGTCTTGTGGATTTCATTCTAGACGTGGACGTCGTTGAGTATCCGCCCAAGGAAGTCACTCAGCGCGGAACTCTAGCTGTGCTGCAATTTCTGGCCACGGGCGAGTGTACAGCTGTTGATGGCCCTGTGGAGATTGCCATTGCTGCCACTGAAGAGTTTCTGGCTGCCGAGCGTGGGACCAGCAGAGTGAGTGAGAATGAGGAGAGGCAGCGTCAGGAGCACTTCATGAGACTCGAGAGGGAAGCTCTGGAGAAGAATCAGGAGATTGAAGCGAGGCTGCACATGGAGCAGCAGCGAAAGCGTGAAGAATTGCTCAAGGAGCTCCTGCATCAGCAAACGGAGTCCGACCAGAAGGTGGCTCAATTGCAGCAAGAAAAGGAAGTGGGTCGCAATCGTCTAATCACAGATATTCTGCGCGAAGAGGAGCGTTGGAGTGGGATCATGGATAAACTAATTTCCCTGAGAGGCGCTCCAGATCCTGTGCTCCTGGAGCAGGAGCGTGTCGAGCAGGAAAAACTAATGGAGCAACTGAGAATCCATCAGAGTGATTTGAGGAAGCAGGAGATCCTTGGAGCGATGACAGACTTGCTAGCAAATGAGGTGAATCGTGTGATAAGCTATCAGGAGAAACGTGATGAGGTGTCACGTGGTGTCCTGGCGAAAGAGTGTGAAACGAGTGACATCTTGGAGGAAGTATTCCGCAATAACAGCAACGATCGTCGACAAATTGTGACGGAAATTAATCGGGATGAGGAACTGCAGAAGGCCGCTGTGGCCACGCTCATCTCCAAAAACGACGCCCGAAGTTGGGGACTTGTGGAGCAGTTGCGCATTGTGGAGGGACAGTTGGCGGCGATGAGTCGCTTTGAGATGGAGAAGAAAAAGTTGGCTACTGAGGAGCAAATCCAGGATCTCTCAGAGAGACGCCTCAACCTCACAGCTATCCTGATGGATCTGCTGGGGCAACAGGAGCAGCGCAGGCAGCAACTGCAAGACACTCTCGCATTCATGGAGAACAGCAGAGATGATCGACAGGACTTTTGGCTGCTTCACTACCAGCGATTGCTTGATGCTCAGCCGGAGGAACTTGAGTTCCACTCTTTGGACCCTCTTCTGGGCTACAATTTCCTGCTGAATGGCGTGGTGCACTGCCTGCCATTCCTGTCGCGTCTGTGGCAGAACAAGGCTGTGGCTATTGACGGCATCACTGAGGAAGACCTCATCGAAGCTGGCGTAAAGAAAGAAAAGGATCGCGCGGGAATACTCAAATCCATCAGAGACTTTACAGCCTCATCCCGTCCTTGTGAGGACAATGGCTTTGAGAAGCCCTCCGCTCCGCCACCAACTGAGGCTGAGGAGAGCCCCAAGAGATCGTCAGATTCTGAAGCAACTGCTAAAAGCGACAGTAATTCGGAGTACCAAGAAGTTGTTGCTGAATGTGTCATTTGCATGGATGAAAAGGTAAGTTTGTTGAGAAACATTAAGTTGACGTCACTACAATGGAACTTGTCTCTCAGGTCGAGATCATCTTCATCCCTTGTGGTCATCTTTGTGTCTGTTCCGGATGTCATAACTCAGTGACAAACTGTCCAATGTGTCGAGCTGCAATAGATCAAAGAATTCGCGTGATTCAGCCTTGAAGGTAATTGTAAGTAAGTTTTTAAATTATTTAAATAACTCTTCACCTCCAATTTTTCAAAAAGTGCGCTTTAAATTTTCAAACAAACACAACTTCAAACTCATTAATCTTTATAGAGATTTTGCATTTTATCACCTATATATGAGTTCTTTTTTATCACAATTTGATAACAAAACCACAAATATATTTCAAAAGCGTCACGCATTAAAAAAAGAAAGAAACATTTTGACATTTTTCAATTGTAACAAACATGTTGGGGGGCCTTAAATAGATGGTTTTTGCGTTTTTGCATGTGTCACAACTTTTCCACTTCACCTCAATACTAAAATAATTAAAATGATATAGAGACACATTTCCAAAGTAAACTTGTAAAAGGATTTATATACAAGACAAAACGTTGAAATAAAATTTTCGAGTGATTCAAGGATGTTTTACGCGCGATATTTTATTGCTTTTACATTAAAAAGAAAATGATAATTATACTTTTATTTCGTGCCATTCAACTGAAACGAAGATATTTGAGAATAAATTACATTGGTAAAACAAAGTTGTACTTCTTATTGGCTCTAAAATTCTGATAAATTTTTCCGTGAAATATTATACCTATAATTGCCGAATATCTTTAATTCCACTTACCCAGTGTTTATTCCATATTATCACTTACCTAATACCGCATTTTATGCGTGATTATGAACGTTTAGAAATATGAGATAAAGGTGATTTTTTATTACTTTCCCAAACTAAAAAAAAGAATTACTTAATAATGACAGTGAATGTTGGCAAATTCCTTCTCAATGTGATATATTTTGCAATATCTGCTCTTTTCACATGATATAAAAACAATATTTCGAGTGGAGATGTTAATTTTGGTTGGCAATTTGGGTGAAGTTTAGCTATCTCTTTTGGTCATTTTGAACTTGAGCTCGCCGTCTGGGGCGTACATGAAAGTGACGGCGTATTTTAGTGGTTCATGGTGATACTCCAATTTGTAGCTTCGCAGCAACTGAGGAGAAAAAAGCGAGAGATAAGTTCAATGTTACTTTATATGAGCCGAACAATTAAGGTTAATTATACCTTTGCCAACAATATCTGCATCTCGAGATCGGCAAATCTGCGACCTAAGCACATCCTGGCTCCGTAGCCATACGGCAGGGAAGCGAAGGGATGCAGTTTCCCTTCGACGCCACCCTGATTGGCCTTAAGCCACCTCTCAGGCTGAAAGGAGTTGCAATTGCTCACATATTCCGCCATGTTTCCCGTCACGATCGTCGGGAAGACCATCTGAACTCCCTTTGGAATTCGGTAGCCACATATGACGGCATCCTCCTGCAACGTCCGTCCGTTCCCGATCACTGTGCTGTAGACCCTGAAGACCTCCTTAATGAAGGCCTTCAGATAGATCAATTTGTCGAGATGTTGATAAGTTAGGGGAGCGGAAGGATCCGGAATGACATTCCTGATCTCCTGATGGAGTTTTTCCTGCTCAGCTGGTCTCGTGGCGATTTGGTACAGAATCGAACAGACTGCCATAGAAATCTGAAAGACAATCCAGCGTATTAGCGCGAAGGGAAACCCGCAATTAGGCCACCCACTCACCGTGTCAATTCCGACGAGAATTAAGTCCAAAGCCATTATGCAGGCCAATTTTTCGTTATTTTCCGCTTTGAGAACGCGCTCCAGAAGCGACGGCTCCTCCATGACGCTCCCGCCGCCTCCGGACTTCATCCTTTCAGTGGCATTCTGGATGTACTTCATGCAGATTCTGCACAACAATGATGACATAAGTATTTAGTATTAGAGACTCAATTCGCTAAGTAATATAGTGTGTAGAAATATCGAATGACTCTTTCGGCGAATGAAGCTTTTCGTGCTTAAATGCTAATCAGGAAAAAAACGTTCCCACTTTACTGATTATGTAGCGATAAATAGGAAAGATAAATACGACGGAGTAAATATTGATCATCCGCGAGTCTTTCTTCTTCACACCAATGTATCTTGTGAAAAATGATCTTGCCTTTGGACAGAAAGTGCCAAAGCCAAGATTGTGACCTTATATGCTGAGGCCTCGTTGCTCTAAGCTTTACCACTCACAAAATATGACCCAATTGAGCAGTGTTGAGGCTTAGAGAAATGAAGGTTTTTGTGTATAGTGATAATGACCGTGCCTTAGTTGATTGATGGTACAATCGACTGCAACATATTATCTTCAATTGGTTCATCGTCTGAATTATTAAAGTACAGTTGTATGAAAGTTTAACTTAACACTTAGTCATTGAGGTCATTAATTGGTTTTTCTGTGCTTACTGATGGATTCGCACAGACGAATTTTCACTCACAGTTCGAAGAGTGATTGTTGGCCTTACCTTTATGTAATTTATCTTCTTTGAATTGTCTATTCACACTTGCATAAACGTCATTCATACTTACTCCACGAAGAAGTTCATGTTGTTGACGTATTTTGTCCAGAGAGGCGTCGGAATGTACCTCCAGAAGGGCATCTTCAATTCCAGAATAGCCACATTTCGCAGGGCGTGCTTGGCGGCATTGATGATAAGCTGCGGCTCAGAGTCTGGCGCGAGGTTCGGCTCCAGACACCCCAGTCTGGTGTCCAACGCCACACGTCCGATACCTAACAATACAGCATGCATCAAGTTCGAGGTCGCATTCAATTATTTGCGGACATGGTTTTTTCTTCGGCTTCATTTTTTAGTGCTCAATCACGTGTGACGCATCACTCGGGCGTCCAATGAACTTACACTCGAGAGACCACTTGTGGATCTCATTGTCGAAATCCGGCGGCAATTCACTGTTGGCATCCAGCAGTTGCTCGCAGCGATCCAAGAAGTCCTTTGTCACCTCCTCAAGTGGCGTGACGTACCGCTTAACAGTGGAGAGCTGGAGGACGGGCTTCTGGACGCGTGATCGAAACTCTCGCCACGGCTCTCCGTGTCTGGATTATACAATGCAGCATTATCTTAATTGCACTGCACTTTCATCAATTTCGTAAGAAATTCAAGGCTCGCCTGTGCCATTTTGTTAAAATACTGCTATGCACTCCATGAACAATGACACGTGACCTCTTTTAGTCGAATGCGGCTGCACGTTAAACAGTTACAGAGATCGCCAAGATAATAAAAAGTGTCATTCATGAGACATCAAATTCGATTGACCAATCTCTCTTCAGGCTATTATTGATGCCCCAGAAATTTGAGTGTCTCAGTCGTAAAACTGAGCCTATAAACAAGCATTGATCGCAGACGTATTGTAAAGTATATAAAATAGTATCTTAATGATATGAAAATGAGCGGCATTCAAGAGTTATCCAGTAAAAATGTATGCTTGTGAAAATGCATGAAAGTCATTAATATTGACGTTGAAGTTTCATGAATTTTAGCAATAATTTCACAAGAAAAAATGTTTCAAATTTCACTCATAAATCACTCAAATCATTAATTGAATGTTGCCACAATCGGCATATTTAATGCAAATTATATGTAACTTAATAAATATTTCTGTATCAATTGATTTGTATTTTCTAGATTCAAACAATCTGAGTAACCCTGTTTCTAAATTTCACGGGCAACAGATCGAGACTGTGTAGAAAAAACTCTTACAATTTGTTCGATTTACGGTACAAAAACTTCTTTGCTTTCCATTCTCTCTTTCATTAATGTCACAGGTGAGGTTTGAAGCTTGACATTGAAGAGTTTTCTTTTCGGATAAACTTACACGCCAACAACACCTGGAAGATCGCCGAAGAAATCCTTTCTGACGACACTCTTGTATTTCACCAGACATGGCATTGATGGGCGGAAAGGTGTTGGCCCCTCGTGTCTGTAACACTGCGAGTACGAGAGTGAAAGATGCTTATTAGATGGAATTGAATAAGTGTGGAGGAAATGTAATTGAAGATTGCAGGAGAAAGTCCATTGTGTTGAATATTCAGTCAAGGAACACACTCATAAGAAATTCCAAATGATCAATTACAACTAATTTTACGTCTTGGCTGAATCATTAAAGCCCTGCAAGTTACTTCACCCGCAGATCACGTCTCTTTCTCATGCCTTGCGACTTGGTAACTTGCGCGATTGTCCCTATATTTTGCGAAATATTGACAATCTTTCGTGATGGAAAGAGAGTCAACAGCTTCAAGTGTGTTTGAATGCTCACGAATACGAAAAAATATTGTGGAACACACCTTTTCAATTTCATCGGCATCGTAGACAAACAGAAGATCAGGGCGTCCCACTAATCCACTGAACCGTACAATTCGACCGTAATCTCTGTGCAGAATGTATGAGATGCGAGCAATGTCGGAGATTTTATACTGTCCCACGAAAGGGAAGAGTCTGAAAAAAAAATAGGACAAGTTTAGAAAACAGAAGTAGAGTGAAAGGATAGAGAGTTCGGTCTGTAATCTGCATTCGTTACGATTACCACCCAAGTGTCTGTTAGTTTATTTTCGTGACTAAGAATTAAACAGAAAAGGCTTTATTATGAAAAGACTGAGTCATTTTTTTTATAATTCATTCACTTCGTCCATATAAATGGTCTAATTAAAGTCTACATTGGTTTATTGAATCTACTTGCACTGCAATATTATATAATACAATTTTTATAACGAAAGTCTTTATCAGTTTTTCTCGATATACATATGTAAGATTTCATATACACCTCTTACTTTGTCATTTCAATTACAATATGCAGGTTGGTGTACGGAATTGCTGTGATCTTTCTATCATTCAATGCTGTTGCATAACAAGTCATTATACGGACGTGATAAAATATCAATACACACACACACAATACGTACAATCTTTAATAATTGCACATTGAAGAAAACGATGAATTGTAAATTATTCACTAATTTGTGATCTTTTCCATATTTTCTGCGGTAAAAATGTACAAACATCATACAAGAGATTTCGCAATGGCATCGACAACGATAATAATCAGACAAACAAATCGTGATTTTGCTCTACGAATCGCAGAAAGTTTTACTGACAATTCTCAATACGGTTGAGCGATTTTGGCTGATCTGCTGATTAGCAGATTTGACTGAGAAGGAATGCACAGGTGATAAATCGCTTAAGATTCACCTTGACCAACTTTTCACTTTTATACAGGAGTTTGTTGCACTTCCAAATTCCGGTTTTAGAGCCTCTTTCGGTTTCACGACGTCAGCGAGCTCTCGATCACTTGGCCTGTGAGTGGTTTTATGAGAAAATTCCCGCCATTGTGAGTGGCACGACTTTATAGGCATTTCGATGTTGAAGTTGTTGTTGAAAGTGTCTTTCGAAAAAATTACTCGCGTGAAACGCCAAAGGGCAAGTATTTCATTGCCATTGCATTTGATTTCACAGGCAGAAGATTTTCGCAAGGAAGAGGATTTTCTTTAAAATGTGAAAAACCATTTAAAAAATAATATTGGACGATGGCGAGATGGCATGTTGAATTTACGCAATGTAAATGTTGATTTTATATTCAAATTAGTCAAGTGTGACTTGAATCTCTGCGACCAGTGTGACTGAGTTGGACAGATGCCATCGATGCGATCATTCTGGAATGGTATGCTATTCGGAGACGCACGCCCATGGAGGAATTATATTTTTACCTACGAGATTGCCTAAGTTTCTCTTAGTACAAATAGAAAAGACATCAATTGATTTGTTGTTAGATTTCATACTGAGTGGCACTTCTTTTTTTTCCATTAACGCACAGCCACAGGTGGAATTATTTGTGTTACTTTATGCATGATGAGTTTGTAAGGTAGGGAGAAATTTTCTCACTTTCGTCACCATAACCCGAGGGCTAATCGAACTGCTCGTGTATGCCGTGCTTTAGGCTCTCCTCTAGTCTTACAACCTCCTCTGCCTGATACCTCGCCAAGAGGTTTTTTCCCCTCGCGAGAGATCAATGTGTAGGAAAAGTTGTTTGAATTCCAGTTCGTGGAATGAGTGCACTTTTGGAACTGTGCCGCGATTATCGCAATCGAAGCTTAATTTTTTTTTCTTCTGTCTATTCGTCTATGAAAATCACCTCCAAGTGTTGCCCAGGAGTGGCAAGGGTCGAGGCCCGGGTACTTGCTCGTATGGCTTTGCATTGACCCAATCCTCAGTGGATGTGATCGACGGTGATCCTCCGTCGACCATGTGAAGACAGGTGGAGTAGGCCGGTGAGCCTTGCCTTGAAGAGCTGGGCTTTCCAGCTGACGCTGACGTGGAAGCCCAACATCGTCCCGTCCAAAAGTGTCGCATCAGCGTCATGACGAATTCTTATAGAATATATATATATATATGATCACTGAACTATGCAGTATTTCCACGAAGATAAAATGCACCGAAAGTGTTCCACTTTCTTTGCGAACACTCTTAATCCACTTGAATAAGCAACAGTTTAAAAAAGGAAAGAGAAAAAAATCTCGATTCGCCTTCGATTCACTGAGAAAGTGTGCTTTTGATCACTTGCACTGTACTTTTAAATTCATGACAAATCGCCAATTGTGTCTCTAAGATACTTCTGCAGTCATTTGAAATGCCTCGAGTGTGAGAGAAAATGTTACTCCGTATCGAACGAAGGTTTCTCGTAAACTGACTGGCTTCAGCGAAGACAGATCATCGCCAACTCTGTCTTGCACACGAAAAGCACCACGGCAATAATGCCTAAAAGCGGCTTTCTGCACGGCAAAGCATATGTAAGTAGTGGATTTAGAGAAGCAATTGCTGTTTTTGTCTCTCAACACTTTTTCAAATGATACAAACGAGCGAGAGTAATGTTTGATCATAACTTTTGGTTTAAGACCAACAAATTGAGTACAAAGTAGTGAAATGGGAAATTGAACATTATTCTTTTATTAAAGGATTTATGATTGTTATAAACATTTATTTCTTCTTGAAACAAAAAACCTTTACAAATTGTTCAAAATACGAAATCACACGTGGCATAGAAATCTTTAAGCTGTGTACAATACACATCAGGAATTGATCCATTATCCTTAGGTTCATTTACAAGCATTTGAGCGTTGATACACGTCATAAGCTTATCCGGGACAGGATTACATTTCTTGGTATCATCATAATCACTGGCATTGAGTGTTGCGAGCTTCTCTTCAGCCAAAGGGAAACATTTGTCCACTGCAGCCATTATTGTAGGTTCCCATACATCATAATCGATTGAAGATCTCTTCTTCACTTCATCGATAAACTTTTGACGATCCAATTTCATGTCTTTGAGAACATCACCATCTTTTATCATGCAATCCATGACACAGATGTGCACTTCAGAGTAATTACGCTTCTCCATCTTTGATAATAAGTAGTTCTCGCATTCGTACATGGCGTCGTAATTCATTATTCCAGGACCAAACCAGCAAGTACTAGGCTCTAAATACGACACTTCCACCGGCTTGTCATCGCAATTAATAGCTTGGATAACGGGCGTTAATAAGCTGAACAAAACGATCAAACTGATCAGAAGAATAGTTGTAGAGATTATCATTTTAGAACTTTTCACTGCGATACTGATTGCGCGATTGAATATGAAATCAAATACGCAGATATTTTATACGAATTTACCCAGGAAATCAGCAATTTTTGTACTTATTATTTCATGTCATGGATAACTTTCAGTGATTTAAAAAATTAATGATTTTCATATCAAATGAATATTTTTTTTTTATATCTCCACTGTTTATTACTCTGTGATTAACACATCTTAACAATATTTGGCATCGATTTCAAAATGGCATGTGGATAGGAACCAGTGTTCCTATCCTTTCACAAAAACATAAAATTTTTAACATTTTGGTTTGACAAAGTCAAATGAATATGGCGTTAATAATATGAGAGAAAATCAATTTCATTCAATTGCCAAAATTTATTGTACGAAATCCTTTTAAAATACAAAATCACACGTTTTGTAGAAGTCTTTCAGTTCCGTGCAATATATATCGTCGAGTGCTCCAGTGTTAGTAGAAGAATTCAGAAGAATTTGAGCGTTGATGCAGGTTAGAAGCTTCTTCGGGATGGGATTGCAGTTCTTAGAATCATCATAACTATTGGCATTGAGTGTGGCAAGCTTCTTTTCAGCCAGAGGAAAACACTTGTCTACCGCCGTTTCTATTGCCGTCTTCCAAGTGTTAAAGTCAATTGCTGATCTTTCCTTCACTTTTTCGAGAAACTTCTGACGATTGAGTTTCATGTCTTTCAAAATGTCGTCTTCCTTCAACATGCAATCCATGATACAGATTTGGCCGGGAGGATTGTAAGCGGCGTAGTTAATTTTCTTCACCAGTTCAGATTCGCATTCGAACATGGCGTCGTAATTCATAATTCCAGGTCCAAACCAGCAAGCATCGGGTTCCATAAACTCCAACTCTGCTGGCTTATCGTCACAAACTACAGCTTCATTGGGAGATACCAAGAAAGCAATCAGAATAATCAATCTAGCGGAATTAACGAAATTTATTAAAAGTCTCATGTTGAGGGAGTTTCTCACTTTTATCCACTGATAAAATGATTGAGCAATCGACTAAAGGCAAACCATTTATATTCCGTTGGAAAATGAGCTTTTTTCTAGTTTTAATATCACATAAATACAATTGCTTCTACATATCCGTCAACAGGTGAAAAAGTTAATTATTTTATATCAATTATTTCGATGACAGTTCTAAACAAAAAACAATTTTTATTAGGTATTTATATCAAATTTTGAAGTCAATAAGAACTGTCGTTGTGGAAAATGGAACATGTATTGCTTGTCTGTTGAAGGTAATAAGTGAATAGTGCAAAAGAAGCTAATGAGATGTACAGGGAAAGAGTCATTAGCAGAACATTATGACAAAAATGTGTGACTGTTTGTGACAAAAAGAGAACAAAAAAGCAACAGATTAATTAAACATATCTTAAACTCGTTTAGTCACATGTGAAATGTCATTACTTCGCATTTAATTTAAAATTGGAAGGTTCTTGAGAAAATTTTTCTTTCCTAAGAACGATTCAATCTCAGTAAAAATCAGCAAATGTCAAATCGCACAAAATTTTATCCTCTGACTAGTCGTCATATTGCCAATCTCTTTTAAGGGTTATCCGAAAAGACGCAATTTGGTCGGAGAGTGTTTCTTATTCTATTACTGATAATAATAGTTAAGTAATCAGCCCAAGATGGTACTTTTATATAACAATTAGGCGAGAAATTAAGAGTTTTTCATTGTATGTATCACATAATCTGTCGCTTCATCGAGCGAAAGTGAAGACAGACACGAAAAAGTTAATGATTTCGTATCGAATTAATGCGGTGGCGTTTTTTGGGTCAGACACTGAAGAGCCAAGTGAGATTTTTGCATAAATAAAGAGATGGCCAGCAAAGATAAATTTATAATGGCAAAAGACATGTTTTCTTTAAATGATGAATCAAAGAAATTCCCATGAACAGGTGATGTTAAACTTCACAAGCATGTCGCTAAACATTTCGTTAATTTGTAGCATTTAGCGGATTTGTTCGGTCTTTGGGATCCACCTAAAAATCACTGTCAATTTTTTTGTCGCTGCATAAATCTTATCACTGTGAAAGTTTACTTTGTTTACAGTGATGCTAGAATATGTTTCCATCTCTCTGCTTAACTACGTAACCTTTATCAGTGCTGTTTTCGATCCCTTTTGTGATTGAGTGCAAGCAATGTTTGATAGGGGAATTTATCTCACGTGTGCATTTATTTAATGTATTGAGAATTACTCAAACTAGTCGTTATTCCTGAATATTATTCAAAAAGACTACCATTAGATTGTGGCGACCTCTAGTAGAGAGTCGCTGTGGTGGCGAGCGGTGACCCAAAATGTGCTTATTATTTTCTCACTATATCATTTGCAGTGAAACTTTAGCTTCAGTCGAACAATTTTCAACACGATTATTACGATTTTATGCATGCCAAACGAGATTAAAATGAATAATCTCAAGTGCCATTTGAAAATAGTTCACTCAGTTTTTTTTAGAGTTTTCAGAAAAATGCTGTTTCTATTTTATGAGTGAAGAGTTTTGCCGAATTTAAAACAAAAAATTAGCATGAAAATTTCATCTGTTCATTTCGATTAGAAATAGCAGGAAATCCACTAGGAAATCGATAACGAATAGAACAATTATTTGTGTGATAACATAAGTTACTGAAACAAAAGATGCGAAAAGGATTTAAATATTTTCCTAGAAAAAAAACATGCAAAATACACCTTCTGTGTGAAAAATCATCTGCTAATTTATTAAACAGAGTTATGAATTCACTAAATAATATTTTCCTTCCGAAAGTAACACCACAGAAATGTAAAGTTTCCCCTCCTTTTGGTCCTGTTGCTTTCCGGGCGCTCTCTTGCGGTGTTCTTTTCGGAGAGTTCAGGAGAAGTAGAGCGAAAGTGAGTAAAAAGCTCGGCGGAGCTTTCAAGCGCTTCAGTTCAGTCGAAGTCCTATCAGAGGAAACATCCTTGCATCTCTCCGTGGATTTGGCACTCTCTTTCACTCTCATTAGCAAGGATATTATCCATCATCGGACTTTGGAGGTCCGTTGCAACCGCTTCTCGTCAATATTTGCTGGCCAAGTGATAGTTTGTGACTCAAGTAATTATTCATGTGCGCTAAAGGATCTGTGCGGATCTCCTTGAGAGTGTCAAGGTGAATTTATTGTGCTGTTTAATTGATATTTTACGAGTCGTGGTGATAAATTTATTGCGCCAAGTGGAGGACAGTTTAATTGTTTGCTGGAGAAACTTGGTCATCATTCGTGTGTAGGTACTTTATCTCCGACTCTGTGTCATGCTCCAATTCTAAATTGCTTGTCATAATGCTCACTTTGCATCGTCACATAAGATTAGTAAAGGTAAATTTTAGAAATATTTCATTCCAGGAATGTAGATTGTGATTGATCCATGAAATTAGGGTAAAATTTCCAGTCTCGCCCATGAAACATGAATAAAGGTTCAGTTCATTTTTATATTTCCACCTCAGAGGAAGACCATATTCGATTTTATTCCGTTGTAGACTTTTATTAGGGTTCCTTTTACGAGTGAAGAATTGAATTTTAAGTAACTTTTAGTTGCAATGCCATGGGGAAATATGGTTGAGGGATGTAATAAAAGGAACTCGTTTTGCATGTGTGTGGTTCGTGAGAAATTGGACTTTCTGAGGTCACATTGTAATGTTACAAACTCAAATTCCGTGTGATTGAAAAGGTTCTCATATAAGCGTCTTAAACAATTTAAAACAAATTCACCAAATTGTGAGGAATTCTCATTCAATGGTAAAACTTTTCGTCAATCCTCCTGGAATTTCTTTTGTGACACTGGAAAATTCTTTGTTTGTTCACCAGCGACAGTTTCCCTTTCACCTTTTCACCCAGTAAATAATTGATCAGGCCAAACGGAGACATTTTTTTTCCAACACAGCTAAAAAGGCATTCAGAGACTGAAAGAATGTGAAAACGGCATCAAAAGTATTTTCATGAAAATTTCAGTTTGGGAATTTTTACACCATTATGACATGTTTTGGAATCTCTTGTTGTGTATGTAGCAACTCAATCAGAGTGAATATTTAAGATT